ACCACGCGTTACATTTATATGATGGTACGCTCACTCAGGGGTGCGCATTTTTATGCAGTCTCCTTGGTTTTCAAGTTGCATGGCATATCCAAAAAAAGTATAAGAGCGCAGGTAAAAAAATGCTTACGTATGCAGTAAGTAGTGTATACTTATATATATACACTGCTACGTGCTTGCCGAAATGACGCAGGCAAGCGGCACATACAGCATATATGTTCATTTTATTGTGGGCAACTTTTTCGCTTGCGAAATGAACTTGGGGAAAATAGCCCCCTTGCTTGTTCTCTTACGAAGGTTTTTTGCAAGCCCGCAAACATGCTGATTTTGCGAAGAAGGTAAAAAATTGATTCAGAGCAAAGGTTGCGTCAAGGCCACTTTTCCTGCTAGATGAACTTTCGCTCAGTTGGCTGAATTGTACATGGTACACATACGTACTGCGTACTTGTGTGTATAAAAAGGTATATAATTTAAATTAAAAAATATGGAATTTTTTTTTTCCACTCACTGTTCCGCGGCACTTTTATGCGAAAGGTTTATGCATATGAATCGGCATTAAGCGATGATTCAAATAGGCGGCGATGTGCCCTGTTTTTTGGCACTGTTCCTCATAACATTAGTGCAGGACTGGCGATGAGGGAGCCCTCTGCGTGTACATGCTTGCACGTGCGTGCCTACCGTGCATGGTTGCGCACATATTTGTTACGTATTGACGCATTTGCGCGATTGGAATGTACCAATCCTTCCCTTCTTTTATGGACTTATTTTGCGCACCCCCCACGTACTCGCGATGGCGTACCTCTGTTGTCCACGGTGCAGGGCATTACCAAAAAAATGCGTCTTGTGGCACGCACGCAGGTGCATGGACATGATACATATATTTATACGCACATACGTGTGAATCCCCCAGCGGGTGAACTTAACAAGGTTAGTAGCACATGCTCCATAACTTCCTCACAGGCGAGTGATGCAAAAGGGTTACAAATTATGCAGTTACATGTCTAGGCAGTTAAACGCTACACTGTTACGCTGCCGCAGCCATATGATCCACTCTGCACGCGCATGTCGGTTCCTCTTGTCTGGGGCGACGTAACAGTGTAGCGCGGTTGATCGGGTCGTACATTTCTGTCGCTATCGAGTCAGCCCCTCAAGAGCGTCCTATTCAATTTCTGTATTAACTGAGCCTCCATATCTTGGAATATTTTTCTTTTCTCATGATCGTGAACACTCTCGGCATGTGTAGAATACGTGTTGACTATCCGAAGAATATCGTTTTTTTGGATACCATGCAGAGTGCCATCATTTGGTGAGAAGCCGCAGCATTTGCAATGACATGGATCTATGTGGTTACTTCTTGGTAACTCCATTTCGTGATAAAAGTTCTTCTGCACCTGTGCTATTTCCTTATGGGAAAATGTGTACTTGTTAATAACTGCACACATATTTGTGTCAAGTAGGAGATAATCCTCCTCAACGTTTTCGACAAACTCCTTTCCAAAGTGGTTCATAAAATGAGTGCGTACATTTGATGTGTTGCTAATGTTTAATTTGTTGGTACAGTACAGGATGTTCCTTATGCATTTTTTTAGCCTTATTCTATTTTCGCGATTCTGAGGGTTTAGCCCTGCCAGGGAAGTTGATTCGTTACACAGTGCAATCAGCTTGTTACATACGTGACATATGTTTTCGTTTCGAAGCATCCGGCAGATGCTCTCGTGGGCAGCTTCCGTTTGTCCATTTCTGTGCGCGTGTAAAGAAAAAGAGGAAAAAAAAAAGAAAAAAAAAATTTAACACAAAATGTAATAAAACACAGATGGGTATGCACCCCTGCGTGATGAAGTACACAGCGAGAGGGCCAAAAAAAAAGGACGAATAAACATATGTAGAAATTATGTGGGAATAACTTGGGGGTAGCACCATGGACATGTTGCACCACTATCTAGGAGTGCCCATTTGGACACCTATGCAAGCCTTACAGGAGGAAAGTGCGGATGTTCTTCTTTTGCACCATGGTTTCAGTTCTGCTTTTTATTTGGAGCAGGTTGACTGCAAGGTGGGACGGATGCGCATGTGCAAGTGAAGGTGTGCTACATAGTGAAAACAATGAACGCAATGGACGCATGATCCACTTTATAAGCCTTGTTCGGTGCGAGAAACACCCCCGAGTGCTCAACATCTGCTCGTCTTACCTCTCGACTTAAATAAATTCAAAAAAATACCAAACCTCTTTGAGTCCTCCTCCCCCATGGGCATCTTTACTACTCCTGCGCTCATCGTTTTGGTTGCATTTCTTAGCGCTTCTTTGCGCAAGGGAATACCTCTTTTTTTTTATATTTTGTTTCCCTACTGAGATGATTAATGAAGGGAAAATATAGTTGTAGCCTTTTTTTTGGTGTCACGTAAGTAGGGGAAAATTATAAACTCAAGTTCATCCCATGTTGGGGGGGGATCCATCACATGGAAAGAAAAAAAAAAAAGAAAAAAAAAAAAAAAAAAAAAACAATCGGGGACAAGCGAAATAGGGACGAATGACACAACTGCGAAGAGAGCTTCTACGAGCCTTCCAGAGATGGCCAAGTGGTTATGCCGGAAAAAAGGGAAAAGTAGTTAATCCACCCATGCAACGGATCCTAAGAGCACCCCCTTTTTAATCTCAGATGTGAAGAACCCGAACGTCACGGAGTTGCGGAAGGGTGAACCACTGTACCGTGTCTTCATCTGGAGCATGCGCCTCTAAGTGCACCTGTTCGCGAACGTGTTGCATATGTTGCGGGGATAACTGGGGAGCCGGGGGAACTTAAGTAACATGAGGAACATAATCAGATCGGGTGATAACAATTTGAATATCCTACTGTATATTTTTTTTTTTCTTTTTGCCACTTTGTCGTGGATACAACTTCGAAAAGATGCTAATGAATGGTCACCCCATAGGGTGGTCAAAGGTGTTGTTTGACGATTCTTTGGATGTGTTTATGAGAGGGTTATCAACTCTTTTTGGATCGTGTTATTTTCTTTTTATATTTAGAGGCATGTAATGGTTATCCTCTTTGTGGGTGTACAAGAATGCTGCCACGGTGGACATTTCGCGATAGGATGACCCTTTGCAGGTTAAGGAGAAAATGTGCATGCATGGACTTGCGTAAGGAGAAAGCGCGCACGAGGAGGACAGCCCCCTTCGTACGGATCTTTGCATATTCCCATGTCCTTTTATGCTTTCCTCCGTGGTGATTTCTCCTCCTATTCGCGCACACTTCTTCAGGCTTGTATAAGCACTGTTCTTCTGGGCCCAGCGAAATGGGCCAACAGTATATAGGAACGCGATTTTTCCGCAAAAAAAAACTTGTGACCGCCTTGCGAGGTGGGACTCCTCTTTTCCGTGAGGAAATATGTACAGGAAAAAAAAAAAAAAATCATTCCATTGTGCAGTTGAAAAAGCGCATGATGTTAAAATTTAGGAGCAGCTTTTTTCTTCTTTAAAAATATTTCACACCCTCTTACTCATTTCAAAGAATCTTACGCAGATAAGCGTGGAGTGTTTTTTCTTTTTTTTTTTTTTTTTTTTTTTGGAAGCATGCAATAGGAAATTGAGTATACATTGGCGAAGCTTCTTCGCAGCTAATTCGTTTGGTCCCATACGAGAGGGGTACCATCTTGAGAGAAAAAAACAAAATATAGTGACGGCGTCGGCTCCTTCTTTGCTCCCTTTTTACCGCCGTTATACCGACATTTCGCCGCCTTTTTTTCGTTTTGCTTTTTAAGCAATTTTTAACTATATGTTGTTTTTAATTGGCCCTGTTTGTGGCTGCGCAGTGCTGCTTCCCGCTTCTTTCCAAGGGAATTGATGTAACGTTCCGCGGGGCTCGGTATCAAGGGTTCACCCGTGCGTGCAACATAGCCAAGCGGAGAGGGAGAAAACAAATTCTCGAGAGGGCGCCTACGCAGGCGCGGTGTGTATAGGTGCATAGGCACGTGCGGACACCTGTACATACGTAGAGAAGCGCGGGCTTACACCTTTGCGTAGCCACGGAAATAAAGATCTTCTGCCCCCTGGGGTAGCGCCTCCTATCCGTTGAACACCATCCGCACCGTTGCAACCATGTCAACATGGATAAACAAAAAGCTCATATCTATATCGGAGAAGGTGATCGAAAATGTCATAGAATCTTTGGCAAATAAAAACACACACATTGATAACATACAGAATATGCAAGGGGTAAGTAATACCGGGTGTGTTTGTACAAGACTGTGCGCACCCCTTTTCGATTAAAATGTTTATTTGTGTGTTGTCCGCGTGGTTGATTGTTTCACTTGATGAATCCAGTCCACGTAAGTGTACCAAATAGCAGCCCTCACATTTTGCCCCTTCCTTTGGTGTTTCCCTCTTCTCCTTCCCGAAACACACACATCGCAGACCCAACTGGGAAAAATAATAAGCAAGGTAATTTCTTCTAAGTACTTTTTCAAAAATGACGACATTTGCTACAACTCCAGGAATCTGGACTTCATTTGGAACATGAAGAGCATGGCGAAGAGGAGAAAGAAAAGAATAAGGAAAGATAAGGTAAAACGGATCAAGAAAAGGACATCGAAGGGAAGAAAAAGCAAAAGAGGAAGCAACAGTCGGAGTCTTCCTGGCCATGGTACACAGGAAGAGGAAGAAGCTGATTGCAAACAGGACTCATATGACAACATTTACATAGATTCAAGAAGCCCTAATTATTTGAACATTGATGAGTCGTACATTCGGACTTGTCCTGCCTTGAATACCAACGAGGCAGGTGAAGGGGAACACCAGGAGAAGGAGACCTCGTTGAAAAAGGACATAATAACATGCAACTCCAGTGTGCAAAGCGTCTTTAGCGAAGCTCCAGAGGGTGTCACGTCAGTAAAATCAAATGCTGCATCGAGTTACGGTCCCTGCGCAGAGTACACAACAGACGGTTCGAGACGTTCCTCAAAGAGGACTTCACAAGGTACAGCAGGTAGCAATTCTGGGGGGACATCTCCTCGTAGTTCCCACAAAAGCGCAGGAGACAACTCAGAGGAGGAATCGATAAATCGGTCCACCAACACATCTGTATCGAGTGAAGCGAATGATTCCTCCTCTCGAGGATCGTCCAAAAGGATAATAACATCATCTTCAGAGGTGGCCAAACGGGAAAGCTCCTTCAACTCGAATCAGTACGCCGAGGCTAGAGAAAACTACATGATACAGAAACAGGCACATCTGTGCAGAGTAAACCTCTTCATTAAAGAGGCCAAGTTATTATTTTTTAACAAAGATGTGAACATAAGCGATATATCTATATTTGTTACGACCATTATGGAGGAAAAGAAGTACGTTGGCAAATTGAGAAAGCTAAGTTCGAGGACTCTTCCAATGAATAATTTAATAATCAACGAATGTATTAAACATAACGTGAAGGATATATACACCGACATCGTGATAAATATAAAGTATCGAAATAAGAAAAAGAATAACGAAGAAATAATCCTGGGGAGGGTGATCATTCCCTTTTTTCTTCTTCTAAATACATACAGATATAAAATTAAAAACATCAGGAATAGGATAAAATATTGCACCAAGTGCTTCCTATGGCTACACATCTTTCCAAGTAACAACAAATTATTTAACTATAAATTTTTTAAGCCAGTGGAAGGGTTCGAAGAATATGGAATGCTCAACCCTCTGTACACATTAGGGTTTTTAAATATAAAAATGAAAATAATTTTTAAAAAGAATCCCCTTCTTTTGACTCTCTATAGTAACATGAGGAAACCTTTATTTTACTATAAATTACCCGTACAATTTGAACCTCTTTATTGCCAGTACTATAGTGAAAACTTCTTCGTCTATGTTACTCAGCTGCCTATATGGATATATAAATTTTTTTACCTCTTCAACCCTAGGAGGATTGAAATTATTCCTTTAAATTGTTACGATTACGTGTTTATTTTATCCTTTTGGTTGTTTTTTTTCCGTTTAATTGTTATTTCTCCCTTCTTCCTCATCTTCGTTCATTTTTTTTTTTGTCTGATTTTCATTTCCCTTTCTTACAAGTTCGGCCATGTCAGCTACAGCAGCAGCAGCATGGCGTATAACTTTCGCCCTGTCCATGTGAAGAAGAGGACGCACCACTGGAATCGGGGTGAGGCGAAGAGCCCCCAGACGCATCAAATGCTACTCCCCGAGAATAGGCGCAACGTGCGTTTTTTTGACAGCAAGTGCAGGCAGGTACCGATCTCGGCGAATGATATAGACTCGAATTATTGCGGCGGGGGGAGAGGCACAAATGCGCAGGGAGGAATAGACACCAATGCGCAGGGAGGAATGGACACCAATGCGCAACATGGGGAAAATGGCTGCCCTTTGCGGGGGGGGCAACTGCTCCTCCAAAGTAGACCACTAGAGGAGAGACCCCCGGGCGGATCAAACAGTTTCGACGTTCCCCAACTGGTAGTGACAAGTGAGGAGTTGAAAAGGATTCCAAGTGAGCATAGACATGGTGGGGAACACAGCAAAAGTGGTACGTCCCAGAAGAATGACGAATTCTATGGAGAAGCAAGCAGGAGAATGAACAACCAGAACGAATTCAGTAGTAATGGAAGCTTCTATGGAGGGAGTCTTAACAGCCCTGAGAAGTGTCCCCCCAAGGACGGAGCATATCATGTGGCTCATTTCAAAATTGAAGAAAATTGTTTTGTAAAGCAACCCAACTTGGATCACGAAGATGAAGAGTCGAATGGGAAAATGAAGGATGGAGAACAGGAACGCCCAGAAGAGAAAAAAAAAAAAAGCCTAATCCACTTTATGCAAAATACACCCGATGAGATAAACAATAAATTAACCAACGTGACAAAATTTGCAAAGAAAATTCAGAATATGATGTTCGACAGTAGTGATAAAAATCCGCTGGATTTTTTCAACATGGGTTCACATGCAAATGGGCTAGCTGGGCTGTTTAACGGGATGAATGAGAAGCGGAGGAAAGCGGAAGGGGAAACACCCAAGGGGGAAGACCAAACTGATAAAGTGGGAGATTTGCACCATTGGGGAGATAGTCAAATAAAGGGAAGCCAAGGGAGGAACCCTCAAGTGGATAATTCAATTAGGGGGAGAAACCACCCAGGAGGGAGCAATCAACCAAGTGATAGCGAACATAAGCAGTTGAATACATCGAAGCAGGGAAAGGAAAGTGCCCAGAGGACATATCGCGCAGAGCAAAACGGGATGGAACGGAGTATCCAAAGAGAGGTGCACACTGATCACTCAGCGGCAGATTCTTCATCGTGTCATAATGGGAAGGATGAATATTTAGCGCAATATAAAACGGAAGTAAGTGTAGACGGAGTTGCTAACTCGAACGCATTGGAAGCTGCCAAACTGGTAAACCGTAGTCACATGACCAGAGGCAGCGATGCCATCCCGTCGTCTGATCATATGGGGGTGGTGGAGGAGAGCCCCTTTTCCAACTCAAACACGTCGCTAGAATCCAAATTTTTAAGAAAAAATTTCCTGTTTGACGCGATAAAGAATAACTTAGCATCCCCAAATGGAAAGGAAGCCGCTGAGTTGGCCATGAAGAATGATGCCAGTGTGACGAACGAGAAGAAAGACATGTTTGCGTTTAAAAAGAAATATGCGTTTACGCCAATCGTGAAGTCTCCCTTCCATAACTTCTATTTGTTCTTTAATTCGATTGACGGTAAGAAGACGTCGATCTTTTCAAACAACGTGGATGTCCCAAATGTCCATTTGCTTCTCAAACGATTCATAATGCTTATAACATTGACTCAGAATTTTACGGGAGCCTTTACCATGGTTTACGAAAAAGTTAACTATGCTTTCAATTGGGACTTCACATGTTACACGTTTGTAAATTTGGTGATTTTGTTTTTTTTAAGTTACGGCTTTTCTTTCATTTTTTATGCCATGTCGTTTGTCCCCCTTCTGTTTTATCGCCTTCTTCTATTTTTGCTCATCTCTGTGTTGCTGATAAGGAGCTACGAGTTGACGGAGGTCGGACACAGGGCTAGTCTCTACTACGAGAGGGTGCGCAAGAAGAAAGTCCCCTGGTGGAGGTATGCTTGGAGATTGCTCAGCAGGATGGGAACTCGAGTAGTGAAGGCCAAGAGGAAGAGGAATGCACAAGAAGAGATCGAGCACGACCATGAAGTGCCAGCACGGAGACACGATCAAGCCGCCATCCCCCATTTTGTCAGACGTCTCTTCAGATCGGTGTACAGAGCAGTCCGCCGATCGGTGCGTCGATTTGTGAGACACACCATTTGCAGATTCTTCCAGGTCACTTTCAAACAGGTGGACAAGATGCTACGCAGAGGGGTTGTCTATATTTACTTTTTAATCTTTTTTTTAAAGAATTGGGTAACAAGATTGCTGATACTAAAAGATATTGAACACATGAAAATAGCCAAGATGCAGGGATTTAAGAATTTATTCTTTTTTATTCACAATCGAATGATGCGGAGAGACGCGGGAATGAAACTGTTCCTGAGAAGCAACGAAAGCTATCCCAGCAGTGGCCACAGCAGGGCTGGTGACCCCGTCGGGGGAACTCCTAAACGTGTGGATAACATGAAAGATGGCTCCATTGATGAAAAGCATAATAAAAATTTCATTCACACGCATATGTATGATAACTACAAGAATGCGGACTCGTGTATATACTCCTCCAGTGATAAAGACGCTTCGAGCGTGAGAAATGGTGGCTACGGCGCCGACCACTTTGCTCGTGACGGCAGCGACGACGACCGGAAATCTCTCAGCCAGCTAACCGACAACGGAACGATGAACGTGAACGTGGACATATTCCTGCACTACTATTTCAAGCGGAGGAAATATGACCTTTTCAACAACATCATAAATATCAACAGGAACCATATATGTAAGAGCACCGAAAAGGGGCGAGGACTGCATAGACCCGCAGAGGTGTGAAGAGGGCCATGTGAAGGGGGCAAGGTGCAGCGAGTGTGCAAGTCGGTGCGGCCGACATCCTTGTCTATGTCGGCCCCGCTTCTTTTCCACGTTCACTCATTTTTTCTCCACCTGTCATTTTCAAACTTCCCATTTTATTTTCTCCCTTTCCCTCCCCCCAGACTCCTACAAGGATATAAATCTGCTTCAGTCAAATGACGACCAAAATATCAGCCCCCTCAATTACGCGGAATATCTCAACATTGAGCATAACTACTCCAGTTCGTATGACAATAACAAGAAGAGGAGTTGAGTTGGACGGCGCCGTCAGAGGCGGTTGTTCGACTGTACGCCCTGGGGTTGTTCATCCCCCGTCAGAACGTGCGTAAGTATTTGTGGCGGTTTCGCCATCGATGATCGTTTTCTCCGCATAGAGTCCCCTTTTTCTTTTTTTTTAAATGTCACTTAATTGAAGGGTTATTTTGTTTCACGTTACGTCACCCTACTTGACCTTGATTTTCTTTGTTTTTCTTTTCTTTTCTTTGGTTTTTTTTTTTTTGTGTAACTGCGACCCCTTGGATGCCAATATTCGTAGTTTCCTGTTTCGAGTGTTTTTAGCCGCGCACTGCAGAATGGGCCCCCGCAGGAGGCGGACATGTCACCACGTCAACTGTGATTGCCACATCAACTCCCATTGTCACGGCGACTGCTGCTGCCACTCGTAGCGACGTGTGTGAATCGATAACGCGGGCCGGTTATGCAATGCTTATTCAAACGTGTTCATCAGTCGGGTGAACTTACATCACGGATGAGACAAATTTTAAAAAAGGCATCCACAAGGTTCGCGGTTCACGTGGGGGGATCTTCGCGACGTGTCATTCATGTGTGGAGTCTCCATAAGAAGTAGTCTAATTTATGCGCCAAAAAAAAGAAAAAAAATGGGAAGAAAGAAGAAAGACAAAGTTGAGGTGACGACAATGGCTCCCTCGGCATGGTATCAGGGTTGGTTACTAACAGTGTCATGCTACAAAGGTAGGACGTTATCGAGACGAGGTGATCCTTCCCAGGGGGTGCCGAAAGGAGAATGGCAAGCCGCTGCTTCCGACTTATGAACAGGGGGCCTCCCCCTGGAGAAGGCACCCCGGGGAAATCCCTCCATAACGTAGTGCTCATCCCAGCATAGGGGTGGATCCACCTGGTGGCTCACCCACCTAGTAGTCGACCCACTTCTTCGGATGCTTCAACACCTGCAGCGTCTCATACTCGCGCGAGAACTTCACAATTTTGTACTTGTAAAAAAATTCGCACTTGAGGGGAAGGGAGGCAAAGACGTTGTCGATCTTTTCATGCTCATCTGACAAGTAGTCCGAATTCTGGTCGGAAAAAACTTCATCCTTCAGAAAGGTGGAGGCATAATTTTCAATTTTGTCCGACTGTTTCTTTCTCTTATAAGTTCTGTAAGTATTCAATTCGAGTCCAAACTTAGTGCCTCGGTCATATATTAAATTAAACTCCGCGTATCTTCCCCGGCAGACACGTTGCCAATTAACCATATTCTCGTCATACTTACAATGAATTGTCTGCGCGAGAATGTAGAGGTAGGATTTACGAAAATTAATGATGCACTCTTGGACAAATAAGAAGATCATTCTGTAGCTGTTATCCATGATGGGATTGCAGCTATGACATTTACATGGCGTCTCATCGGACGGAAGTTTTTTATTCGTATGGCTGCTATTATAGTTAGCGCTAGCGTTACTGCCGTTTCTGTTGGTAAGGTTGATACTCATATTTTGCAATTCTCTCGCTTTTCCATTTTTCCCTTTCCCTTTTATCTTTGTCTTTATAGTGTTATCCAATAAATTGTCGAAAAATATTCCCCCAATGCCTCTGCTGATATTTCTGTGCTTAATTCGAAAATACATGTCGCACCATTTTTTGAAATACTTGTAAAATAAGTGATTATACTTATCGCAGACTATCTTAAATGAGTGATGAAAGTGGATGAATAATTCTGGGAAAATATAACTGGGACTCAAGTCGCATCCTCCTCCAAACCAATGTTTCAAACTTCGGTAGTAGTTATCTATATGACTCTTCGAAGTATCCGTGCTGCTAGGAGCTGCGTTCACATTGGTGAGATGTCCATTTTGGCCTCCTTTATTGGTAGCACCGTAGGCGTTGGTATATGGCGTATTGCTACTATTCGCAACCGGGGTGTTTTTCTTCTTTTTCCGCCCCGTTTTGATGAATACTTGGAAAAAGCGAAAGTTCATATGGATGGAGGGCGCATTAGGATTCAGTGGATGCGCAATGATGGACAACCCAGAAGCATAGTACTTGTATTTCTCGCGAACTATCTTTAACCCCCCGTTGCTTATAATGCGAGAGATAACTTGGTTAAGATCATCCGAGTAGCAAATCTCCTTGGTATTGATGTACTCTTTATTGTACTGATTGACGCACATCTGCTTGGCAGTCTCTCTGTCAATGGTTCCATTTACACAGGAGTAGTTCACTGCACATTTTTCAAACACTCGTCCATTCTCCAGGATCCTCGTTATTCCTGATCCTATTTTTTTCTTCTTCGAGTTGTTCTTGGTCCATGTTTCTTCGAGAAATTTTTCTGTATCTAGTGATTCGAATAAACCACATATGTTATTCTGCTCCAGTTTTAAGAGATTTTCCCAACAGTTCCGGAATCTTTCATTGGGAGCTGGCTGCATGGAGAGTGGCAAAGCAGGAGGGACAACACATTTATTGTGAGACACTAGACACATAGGTGGTATCCTCGTGCGAGGTGCCCCTAACGCCGGAGTGACTTTCTCAGGTGTAGGAATGTTCGTGGACTACGCCCAGAGTCGTGTGCACGACCGAACCCATTGGTCATCAAAAGGGCATACTTCAGACATAGAACGTGCCAGATGGAGACAACTCGTGCGTCTGGTTTGGGTTTTCGTTTCTCCAATTGGGACCTACCTCATCTTTCATTGTATAAAAGTCGTTGGTAAAGATTTATATGGACCTTTCCGCGGGGGAAGTGGAATGGCACCACGGCGTGTCAGTGTTGATGGGGGGTGGATAAAGATGACGAAATTAGAGAAGGTTGGGATGATGCCGATTCACACGCTTTTCCCTATTCCCTTAGCTGCATCCACCCCAGAACGGAAACCGCTATCCGGCTCAAGGAACAAATAAATGAGTGCTAAGCTTACGGCCGCCGTGATAAGTTAAAAAAAAAAAAAATACCGTGCAGTACAGTACAATACAACAAAATAATACAATAAACTAAGAACTATTATTCCATGTAGTAGAAGAAAATTGTAAAATGAGTTACGACCGGGTGGGGCACGATCTGGATCAACAAACTGCAAGAGTGAGTGAATAAAGCGACGCAGAGTCGAGGTGGTGGTGGGAAGTGTCCCTTTTAATGTTAACAACTAAAAAAGAGGACCATAAATTGGGCTGCAATCTTAAGAAGATTAAAGGAGATGAAGAAAACAAAAGGAAGGAGTGTTACGAAGGGCCCTTAAGGGGGGGTAGGGTGTGGAATTAAAACAAGCGCCGTCAGAAACAGAAAAATGAAGTGAAGAAAAAGAGTAGTAGAAGAAATATCAAGTTAAAACTGTCAAAGTTGATTATGGCCTACATTTTTCTTTTTTTTTTTAAATGTAACTTCCGTAGGCATTATTGTACCGTGCCAGTCGGGGAAAGGAAAATTTTACTTCTCCACCTTGACCAAAAAAAAAAAAAAAAAGAAGTGAACAACTGGACGATGGAACGAACAGATGAAGAACGGCAGATTCGGTTACAAATAATGTTTTCCTGCAATGTGCCAAAAATGCTGAGTGCATCGGAGAGTTAGAGTAAATTCCTCATGGCGCTGCTTTAAATCGGTTGGCATCTACGTATTTTCCCGGGAAAGAAAAAAAAAAACAAACAAGGGAACAAATACAACCTCCTAGAATGCATACCTTCTACTTATACAGGTATTTACAATTTTGCTGGAATGAAGGAGGCCCTTGGTTCATTCATGCGTGGTGGTAGCGGATGACGACGTGCGCTCTCTGTTGGCCTCTTTAGAATTCGCCAGACGAGTTAGTAATTTCCACAGTGGCCATAACAGAGCTCGACTTGAGCCAATATATGACAGGGGTAGGGAATCCGGGTTTCTGAATACATGGCTTTCCTGGGCAACTGTGCTGTGTGGTAAAGCGCCAAAGCAGCCGCAGAAGGTTGTACTGAGCGGAAGGTGTCGTTTTTATCGGCATAGTTATCCCAGGTGGGCTTCACCAGTTGGGAGACCTTTCGCCATTTTAAATAATTTTCATTTGGATTGCAAAATGGAGGTGAACAAAGGGTGAAATACAGCTGGCGTGATTATTATATGTTTGGGTGGGTAATGCCTTTTTGCGCCATGTATTGCATCTTAACATGGGAACTTTCCCCTTATGTCAATGCTTCAAGTCGTTCCTTTGGCATCCTTTTTCGGTCTACTCACATATGTTTATTTCGCCACGTTTGTGCGTTTTTTTCGTCACTTTTTTTTTAATTGGCGAGCTATCACAGAAGGCAATTTTGGCGTAGCCCGTTGATTACACTTTGGGTCATGCTGCATTCTGTTGTTTGTTTTATTTTTTTCGCCTTTAAGATTTTTTCATAAAACAGCAGCGGGAAATTGCGGCATTTTTCCGCGTAGATGTTCCCTAATTAATGCTCATTCTTTATTAGCACTGTGGCATTTATTCCTTTTTAAAGTTCAATTCGGACGGTGCGCATACAGAGAGTGAAAAAAAAAAAAAAAAAAGAAAAATCTTCTTCTCTTCACATTTCCATATACATCGTACGCACACGTTGGTGGTTGCTCCAATAAGCAAAAGCATCGCAGGAACACGTCGTACAAGGAGTTAAGAGATTTTCTTGTCCTCTTTCCGCTCATGCATAATAAATGGTTTATTTATTCCCCTTGTTGTTGCAATTATACAATTTGGACATACGGTTGTACTTCTTAATTAGCTGCTTCTTGTTTTTGCTACTTACAAGCTTTGTGTGTTCATCGATCAGCTTCATGGCCGTTTTCTTGTTCCTCGTTCTGTATACCTTGTTCGTGGTGGTGCTGCGCGGAAGGGGTGAAAAGGTGGGTGGTGTTGTTTTGGCGCAGAAATGTATGTGCCGCGTGGTGCCGCTCACTGTGCAGTGACAAATTTGCACGTCTGCGTGTCCGCCTCACTTTTGGTCCGTGGATTTCACGCACAACACAACTTTCCCCTTCTGCAATCGGAGATTTACGCCATTTTGTTTCACGAGTCCTAAGCGAAAAGAAGGGGTGTAAACGTATAACTCAGCCGTGAAAGGGAGAGGTGCGAAAGAGTGACTCAGCCGTGAAGGCAAACAAAACCAAAGGAAACGTGTATTTCCTTTTTTACGGAATAGCAGCCCGCACCGCATAAATACTTGGACGCACAGCCGTCGACATACCACTGCTTGAGGGCGTATTTTTGCAGCTAATGTTGTACAAGTCGCATAGAAAATTTCCCTTCCTTCCACTTTTGTTTTTTTTCAAAAAGCAATTGTTCCTTTTGGTTAGTTCCCAAATGAGGGCGTTGCTCACGTTTGACATTTTGTTCACAATTTTGCTTAGCTTTTTTTTTTTTTTTTTTTTCGAAAGAGAGGTTTTTATCAACGTGTACGAAAAGAAAAAGTACCCTTTAGTGTAACACGATTTTTACGTTGCTTCAACGATGGATGCGCAAGTTTAGAAAGGAAAATAATTTTTTCAGCTATAGGATCAATTAAAATTGGGGATGGATTTTCAGATGAATGGGTGAAAAATTCGAAGCTCGGGATTTCCTCAAATTTTTATTTTGATAAAATAAATGAATGCGAGTATTACCCTTTGGGCTTGAGATTAAATTTGCAAAGGGTTTTTTTCCCAATACGGGGGTGGGGGATCGAAAGTAGTATGCACAGCGCGTCGGCTCATATGCAACGTAATGAGCGAAGCATAGATAACATTGTAACGCTATGCGTGCTCGCATGCCATTTTGTAGGCGCTTCTTCCTCTGCTAACTTTGGAAGCGCCCCGAATTTAGTGAAGCTGTGCTTTACTTTCCCCATAGTGATCATTAAGTTATGCCGGGAAGAGGGAATCGGTTTATTTTATTTTATCCATTTTTTTTTTTCTTCTCTCTATATACTAGCTATTTTTTATCTCCCCCATTTTTGTGCAGAGAAAGTTACAATTTTTTATTTTCCCCTTTGACACTTTCTTCTTCAAGTGAAAAAAAATTAGCCATTTTAGCAGTCCCCCCATGTGCGCCTTCGTTTATGAAGCGGGGGAAAAAAAAACTACAAAGTTGTAAAGTTCCATAAGCGAAGAAGGAGCAGTGAAGGAGGAGCAGCATGTGGTAATCCACACCAGTTATGTCCAAAGGAAAATAACATACGCATACATGTACGGTATTCTTAAACAGGCGGGAAAAAAAAAATTACGCGCTGTTTTAATTGCCTAAGAGGGGACGAATCATATTCGTTCCTTTTTTCCACTGTTCGAATGTACACCCCGTTGTGAAGAGAAAAAAGAGGAAAAAGGATGGAGCGTGAGACTTTCCCCATTTTAGGGATTCCCTTGTGGCCAGCCATTAGGACGGTATAAGTTTCAACTTGCACAGGTACCCATTTGTCATTTTCAGTAGAACAAAATGAGATGACGTGGGACCTAGCTGGCTGTACGTGTGATTATTTAAACCGAGTAGGGAATATGAAAATTCCCATTGTTTTTTTTTAAAGTCTATTTGGTGAAGTACTTTTCCTTTTTTTTTTTTACTGTATGCTTCATCATTCGCCACGTAACGTGCATTCACTCGCATGGGCGTCTTTACCAAAAGGTTCAGAACGGTGAACTAGGACGCACTCGCGAGGTGGTGACGGTGATGTTAAAAGCGTAGGTCGATTAAAAAAAAAAAACGATGCTAGTTCTTTGTTCATACCACACACATGGGCAAAAGAGAATGAAAAAAAAAAAAAATTACATTATATAATGTTACCTTATGTAACGCTACACAGCACATCATAGCACCAGGCGACACGCATCCAACCCCTTCGAATCAAATGTTCGACGGGTACATGAGTATCCTGACTCTGTCTCCAAAGGCCTTAGGAGGGATATTGCTTCTGAATCTTGCGCGAATCACTCCGCTGTTTCCGTGCGTTCTGCATACCTTTCCCCATATGCACTGCGGGAGAGATGAAACGGGGGTGCGAATAGGGGATGAGAAGGAGCCCAACAGAGAAAAGCGGGTGGAGGGCAAAGTTAAGGTGAAAAATGGCATGATCACGAATAAAGCAACATAAGGGTAGACGGAAAGGGGCGCACCTCGCTATGAGTTTGCCTCTTCCATACCTTAATCTTCACTCCGTCATGGTGCTTATTCGTCCTGTATACGTAGGCAATCCTTTTGCCCACATAAAACTGGGCATGCTTTTTCGTATGCACATTCCTTATCGAAATAAGGGTAAAGTTGGGGTCTTGGTTTCTTTGAGATCTGCAAATAAAGGGAAAGTGAAGTGAGCGTTGAGGTACCTAGGAGTCAATCGGGGTAACAGAGTGTCGGGGGAAAACGGACCTGTCGAATGTGTACATTCCCTTTTTCAAATCCCTCAAGAACAACGGCGTTCGCCGACGAAACGCGTGTTTTGCTACATATGCTGATGCACTCTCTCTTTGGTGGAGTCTACAATATCTTCGTCTTATTAGCGCGGACTTTTTTCGTGCAAAGCGTTATATGTTTTTTCTTTTTTTCATGTGAACTTTCATCTGTCCCGAATCGTATGCACAGCCAACATCACTTAATGAGGGAAACCCACTGGCTTAACTTAATTACGTCTTGTTCATTGTTGGCTCCTGTTTATTTCCCGCAATTCTCTCATGCGCTCTTATTCGTCTCTGCTGAGGTGGATGGGCTGATGCACAAGGCGTTGGCTCTGGCCGCCCAGTTGGCAGCTCCCTCATGTGTGTGTTCATACCTCTTGTATCCCAAGATCACTCCTTTCTCATATAATCGAACTGCCTTAAGTTTTTTGACCGTTTTTTTTTTCTTCCCCAAAACTTTTTTTACAACTTTTTTTATGACCTTCTTAGCGGGTTTCTTCCCTTTGGCGTTGCCAATTTGTTTTTTGCTTTTCGTTTTATCCATTTTGCGCGCGGTAGGTTTGATGTATCGCTCAGCACGTTGCGCGTTTGCAAAGGCAGATTGGGGTATATTATTTTATAATCTAGCCGGAAAGCAAAAAATCACTAGCAGGAATATAGGTCAAAATAAGGGTAAACGTACATATGCATGTATCTTCAGATGATTCAAAAAAAAATTATTTATTTTTAAAAAAAAATAAAAATTGCGGATTTGTACGAACGTAAGAAATATTTGTAATGGTTTGGAAAAAAAAAAAGTTGGGCCCTTCTTTCAAGGAAGTTTTCAAATTAGTAATGAGGACGTCAAGCGCGGAGCAAAATATAAGTATATAATATAATGTATGTAGATTATGAGTGTAGCCGCTTACGTAGAAAATGCTTCTGGATGTTTTTTCCAGTCGGGCTGGCATCTTGCTGGCGCACCGAGTTCTCGTTTCACTGGATGGGAGGGTGTTGCCACGTTGCTGCGAGCAAATCAGCATCACCCCACAACAGGTATTATATACATATGTAATAATATGTATACACTGTGGAAGGCGTTTTTTTTTTTTCTTCACATGGCATGTTTTGTTGTAAGGGCTATTTTCCACTCGACAGCAATTGCGCGCAGCCGGTAGAGCATATGTCATGGGCAAAAAATATGCTGCACCATTATGCCATACAAATAAGGCGTAGTAATGTGGCCTGTGCGAAATACGAAAAAAACATTTCCCTGCGTAGATAAATAAATAGTACACTGCCTCGTCTGCCTTCCTTCCGCCCCTAAGCGCGTATATATATTATATTATGTATATATATTACATATATGTATGTATATATATATAAATACCCCCCTTAATCTCCTTCCCTGGAAAGCGGGCTACTTTGGGACGCTGCGTTTGTTAAACTTCCCACCAACGGGATGTTCCGTTGGAGAAGCTGCCTGCAGTTGCAGTACAAACAAAATACGCGCTTCATTCCTGCCTATAGCCGCGACGTATTCAATAAGGAAGGTAAAATTCCCAAATGCAATGAAGCGCAAATGGGGTGCGATTACAGAATTATTATGCAGAAAAAATGCTAAGTGTTTTTCAAAAAAAATTGAAGGAAAAGAAAAGCGGCCTTAGTATAAGAATACGCCACGGTAATATATAAGTTGCAGCCCGTGGGGGGCAAGGCCCCTCCCCTACCCCCAAAGAAAAAAAAAAATATAGCAAGTAAACACGCGGGAGGGGTAGGCAAATGCGGATGCACTGCCTCATTTAACAAACGATTTGGGAGGAAAGAACAAGAAGAAGTGGTCGGTTTCTTACATTTGTTCATAAGAAAAATTCTTAAAAACTGGGTGGGAGGAAGAAACTCCAAAGTGGGAAGAAAAGTTGAATGCGGGGTGAGCATACCACCAAATTGGCAGTGGCGCATTAGATAATTTCCCTGCCAAAGGGGTTGGGGGAGGCACCACCCGTGTTCCCTTCCCCCCTAGTACTTTTGGCATCGCATCATCACAAAGTTTGAGGCGTCGGTAAACTCGGAGAACTTTGCCTCATACAAGTCCTGACTTAAGTTGAGGAAGGAGCTGATAAAGTAGTGACTCGGGGGGGTGAACAACTGTATGTCGTAATTTCCATTTTGTAATTCATCAAAGAATTCTTGTGACCCATCCCTGTTCTTCCTACACACATACAGAAAAGTGCCCTTCGGTTTTAAAGTTAAGTTAATTAAATGGATAAGTGACGGGACGATTTTCTTATCGTATATTAAATCACTCCCAATAATGTAGTCATATGTGACCATCTGCTCATTTTCACGTGGGTAAGTATTCTCATTGGTCCAATCAATGTTGCATATTTTTATTTTACGCCTCCATTCTGAATCTAGGTTTCCAAGGAGTTCTTCGTTTAATGAGACATTATGCGAAATGTTACTTAGAGTGAATGGGTTGACATCAGTAATGACAACTTGGTTCGGTCCCTGCTCATTTCCGTCGCGAAAGACGTTCGCATGTGTGAAAAGCGAAATGCTGGCTAGTCCAGTCCCTCCACCGAGTTCTAAGACTGCTTTGTTGCTAAATAGAGTGGCATTCTGGAGGCACAAGTCGGAGATCCATTTGCTGATCACGAGGCAGCACTCCCAAATGTTAATCCCGGTGATGTCATTATGCGAATGGACCTCTTCTCCAGATGTTTTGCCATCCTCAAATGAATTCCCAAAATAGTTTAGTCCAATTTCTCTTATACGTATGATGGCCTGTTCTTCGATTTCCTCGTTTTTTACTTTTGCTTTTTCGTTGATGAGCAATTCGTGGGTGCATTCCTGAATTATTTTTGCATCCTCTAAGTTTGTCGTGAACGCTGTTCCGTCGTGGCTATTGCGTGCACCGTTCTCACCGTTGGCTACGCCGCTTAACACACCGCTGCTCATGCCACTCACCGCGCGCGCATCCTGATCGTCAAGCACACTCGATATGGGATGGCTCAGAACAAGGTGCAAGATATTTTCGTCCTGGGCGTTGAAGGCCTCCGACAGAATGCTCTTGTTGAATTCATTTTTCTTCAGTAGGTCGATTTTGTTGGCTTCCTTGTACAGGCGAATTTGCTTCCCCCACGTTTTCCCCTGGATGTTTAAAGTAGCACCTCCAACACCCTGCATGTTGTCGCCATTTCCGAAGCTGCCATCATCATCGTCAAAGAAAATGCTCGCGAAAAAATTCATGGAGTTGATTTTATTTTTGACATGGGCACTTAGCTGGTAGCCGTCCTTCACGAGGTGAATTTCCAAAAAATCTTTCCTCATATGTTCGTACAGTTCGTTTTTCTTTCTTTCCACTGCTGTATATTCTTTCCTATATAAAAGATAGTCGAAAAGTAGCACTTCCTTAACAGCTTCACAATGCTTATTCTGTATGGCCCACATGAGGGGGCTATTTCCACTGGTATTCACTTGGTTATGTCCAATTGTGCACTCGTATAGCAGGAAGCGAATCATGTCCACAGTGTTATTTGCGCATGCAAAATGTAGGAGTGTGTTCCCATTTTCGTCCTTCACATCGTTAATTGAGCTTATGTTTCCATGTTGAAGGATTTTTTTAAGTTCCTCAATGTCGTTTGTCCTTACGTAATAAATCAGGTCTTCGATCTCATCATCCAGCCTATTGCTGTTGTTATTCTCTGGGGGGACATTCTGATATTTTTCTTCTGCTACCATGACCATTTTGTGCAGTCAATCTGGGGTAGAAGTGCGGTGAATGCCCTTTGAAAGGTATCATTAGAGGATTTCACTTCCTCGCGACAAAGGTGCAGGCCCCAACGCAGCGTGAATTCGACCGCTCCAAGTTGGTGTCAGTCCCCACTGTGATTTGTAAACACCAAAGGGCGGACCCCTTCAAAGTGTTCTGCCCTCGTCAATTTTCGGGGGGCCCCAATTTGGCACAACTGTAAATAAAAGGAAAAATAAGAAAATAAGAAAATAATAATGTATTAACGTATGCAATTGTGAAAAAATTGATTCACGAGATGTATCATGCGAGCAAGCTCAATGTCGCACCGTTCTTCTCGAAAACCGCGCGGAAGAGAAAAATGATATGCGCATCGCAGTGTTCTTTCCCCGTACATATTGGTGCGTAAAATGATTGGCATATTTTCCCTGAATCTGCTGTTCTTGACGAAATGGTATACTTTGGGAAAAAAGGAAAACGAAAAAAGAAAAAAAATGTAATTTGATCTACCTTATAGGAATAGCACTGTTTTGTCATTGTTAATTTTTTTTTTATATGTAAATACTATTTTTAAAAAGGTTAACTCTTTTTAATTCTCGGGATGAATTTTTTTTCTTTTTTTTACATGACCAAGAGAAGCAGAAAGGAAATGTTCACATGTGAAAAGGAAGACTTTCATTTTGCTGCCACTCTCAACCTGTACGACAACCTAAGTAAAGAAGAAATTTAGCAGTAAGGATATGAGCCCCGTATGCACATTAGGCGAAGTAATAACTCCCGAGGGTGTGCCTAAATGATGTCATATCACATAAGCTACAATAGCCGAAGAAGTAGCCTTACATGTTAACAAACAATAAAATAAAAAAGAAGGGAAGAAGAAAGTGAAAAGAATGTACACTCTTAATAATTTGGATGAAAAAACACACAAAAGGGGAAAAGATTCAAGTGCGCAGATTGCAGAGAGCAAAATAAGATCGGCCCAGTATAACCCAGCAGAGCACAGTCGTGTGAGCAGAACTCCCTGAACTCGCCGCTTTGGAGATTATTGCGGAAGGCCAAGAAACAAGGATCAAGCAGATGCTACCCGAAGAGATAACCAAATGACTAGGCAGCTAAACGACCAAACCAACTGATGCCTACACAGAAGGTAAAAAGCGCATATTACACACCTATATATAAGAAGCCATTTTTGAACCCCCAGACTGAACTTCTCCTGGTAAGCTGCCCTCACCAAAATGGAGTTAAAGAAGTTTCGCTCCTTCCTTTTAAGAGGAAATATAAGCCACTGTGAGCATGTGCCAAAAATTGGACATGTGCCAGAAGAAGGAAAAGCCCAGTCCCCCTTTGATGACACAAATGGAGCCAAGAACAACGATTCCATTCTTGACGTGATAAAAAAAATACCCATAAATCCATTCATCGATAGCAATGAAGATTTAAATAAATATAAATACGGAGTGGAGAAAAAGGAAATTCAGAGATACACCGGTGTTCAAGTATACGAAGAGGAAGATAAAGATCACAAGAAGAACAAACCGATAGATTACCCATTTCCTGTTAGCAAAAGTGTTATTTTTGAAAAGAACAAAGTAAACAAATCGGAGGATCGCATAAACATAAATTATAGTAACATAGCCAGTGACTTATACCCAGAGGAAGGATTTAAGACGCCAAACAGAAAAAAGCATTTTTCCTCAGACTGGGAAATGCTACTAGCACATAATCATGGGCTATATAATTTTAAAAACACAGACCATAACACCATTGTTAACAAAGACATGTATGCTTTAAACACCGAAAATGACATACGAAATAAACTAAATTTGTACGTGGACAGAATAAATGTTGATAACCCTAATGATGCTTGCAAGTATTTGGCCATAGAGGAGTATAAATGTTTGTTAACTCATTCCTTTCACATGAACCCCGATGTCAGCAACCAAAAGTGTGTTAAGTGGTTTAATGAATACATGCAGTGTAAGTGGGACGAGCACAAGCTAAATTATGGCTACAACTACATTGAAAATAGGAGAAATAAAAAGTCCAAGGCGTATATTGCGGCCCCCGATTATCAGTACTCCTAGGAGGGAGCATCGGAAGGGTAAGGCAAAACGTAGAAAGGGGGCATCGCATAGGAGCAGCAGAATTAACCATTTTTTTTCTTTTTTTTTTTTTTCTTCCGCACACACGGAGCTACTTTCTTAAGTAAATTAATACGCAAGCCGCCTCTTTCGTCTAAAATAGCACAGAATAAGCGTCTCATGTTGACCCATCTTCTATCCATATCAAAGGAACAGCTCCGCTGATCAGCGTTGCTTGCACATTCTCATATGTGCTCGCCCAAGTGGACACACATAGAGGAAGCAGACTCCCTTGAATTTTAATCGTTACAGGGAATGACAACTTGTGCAGGTTAGCCTACAGAAACTTGCCTTGCAATCCAGATGGTTTCCATCGAATAGGAGTAGCTAATAGGGAGATGCAAAATCAGGGCAAGTAACAAAACCGGCGTCATGTACAAAATTGTGCGACCACTTTGGGGGTAGCCATTTTGCGACAGTGTTATCTTTTTTATTATATTTTTTTCTTCTCTTTTCTGTTCATATTTTCTGAACAGCTAGCTAAAATGAAATAAAGATGTCATTTCATTTCGTCAAAATGTAAAAAGAAAAAAAAACACATACATGTATATATTTATGTGTATACACCCTTAGTGGTTTCTTTTTTCCATTATGGGGCGAGCAAATTCCCTCCCCGTCCTTGAACCATTTGCGTGTATATACCAGTATATGTGTGCATTGTTCCCTGCACAATCTGACAACTGCGGTGTAAGCATAAGTATGTTCCTATTTGTGCGCGTAAATTACACTCCTGAGGACGGAAGAGAAAACTGAAAGCGCAATTTTTGTTTTTTCTGCATGTGATATGGTGAAACTTACTTGTCCCAAAGGGGGGTGTTCCGTTTGGTTTACCTGTCTCTGCGCATGTGACATGTGTATGTATGAGATTGCGGTAAAAGGGTGCGAACTTGCTAAAAAGTGGTGTCGCATGACGCGGGGGATGTGCTTCCCCTTTTCTTTTGATCAGCGCAGGATGCAACATAATGGAAGCCGGGGGTGAGGGCCTCAAGAATGGCATTGAATGTCTCAGCATGGCTCAGACGCGCGTTGCACATAAACGACATGATTTTTTCCAATGGGCCATTGCCTCAATTTGTCCTCCCTAATCTTCCTGCATGTATCAGATTCGTTAATAGTGTATTACAGATTTTAGTGTTTTTTTCGTTTTTTGTTCGCATTTTATTACCAATATTTTTCCAACCGTCTCACCACTTCTTTCAACCTTTTTCCCGCATGTGCCAATTTTGCAGACCCATGCGCGCTTATCAGGTAACTGATTGCCAACACATTTTCATTCACAAACTGGAAATTTGCTCAAGCGAGTAAAGTGTTTCGCAAGTTAAATTTGTTTTTAACTGAACCATTTAAAATGCAGACTTCATTTTGTATGCATGTATTGCCAATTTTTTGCTTGTCGAAATTTTTTTCTTTTTCTTCTTTCTTGCATCATTCCACATGCGCAAGGCATGTACGAACACTGACTGGGGGTGTAGTACGTATTCTTTTCTGAGCATTCATTCTTGACCGATACTTAAAGAAATTTTTTCTTTTTTTCAAATTACTTTGTAGTTGTGAGAAGCAGGGCGTCCGGTTAATGTCTTCTCCATTTGTGTTCTTGCACACGTGGAGATTACATTGCTGTGTATTGCTGTGTGTATTGCTACGCATATTATTACTACGTATATGTAACGGTGGATACACAGCCCTTGTCTGGCTTTTTAATCAGCATAGCAAACATTTGCGTAATTATTAGAACGAATTCCCCATTTTGTGCAACATATTCACGAGTCACCAAAATTGCACCATTCGCCTTTTTCTGTACGTAATTTTTTCTTTACTCCCCTATGCAGTAGGACGATCGTGATCCGTTGCTGTTTCATATCGAGTAAATCCATTCGAACTGCCTGTGTTGCTTCTTCCTGGTGTCTCCATTTAGCAAATACCCCCTCTGAGCAACCAGAAGATTTTTCACTCACTTCGATATGTGCTCCTGTTGGTGAAGTCAACTGCAAGAAGTTCAGTTTGCTAGTGGAGAGTGCTATCTTTCAATTTGACCCTGTCTTTGTGGAAGAATTTGTGAGCACTTATTTGGTGAAGCAAAGAAAAGAGTCATTCTTTCTACTTGGAGAAACCGATGCACGTATGTGTATATGTTAGCACCCAATTCAGGTAGACACCGAAAGGGATAAATTCATGGTAACATTTGCAACCGCTCAGACATGAACGAAAGGCGGCCGCACGGATAGCCACAATTTTGTGTCTTTTCCCATTTTCCCACCATTTTCGTAGCACCGCATCGTGAGGGTTGATCCTACTCTGAACATCACGTAGGCGTACACCCTAACATAGAAGCTAGTGGATCAAAAATGCATCCGGACAAGGAAGACAACTGCATTATAGATAAAAACAGGATCGACAGTGTGAACAAATATATTTACACGAAATTCCCCACATTTGACCTTCACAAAAAGGTAAAGAAGTACAACAACAAGATATCCGAATTGATGATAGAAAATGAAAAGTTAAAAAAGTATAGAAGTAATTTGGAGAAAAGAATCATAAAAGGTAACGAAAATTTTGAAGTCAATTTTATGAAGTATGAGATAGCCATTTCGAATGCCTTACGTATTGGCTATTCATGCATATTCCTATGCAACGCATTGAATAAAATTATAGACAGATATAAGATAACCGTCTTGAGGGAGCTACTCAGAAGAAGAGATCAATTCAAAAACAATCTCATCAAATCTTACATTAATAAGAACTCGTACGATAAGCTATTCATAAACAATATGGTTATGAAGATAGAGGGGTTGTATGAAAAGAACAGACATTTTGTCACGACTGTTTTGGTAATCTTGGTGAAGAATAAGTTGAGAGACATTTTCAACTTATTCGTCTACAATGTTTTGGGGATTCCCACTGCGGGTGTCGATACCTTCAACGGTTTGTCCTCAGGAAGGGAAAATTCCAACGGTGTAACATCCTCCAGAAGGGGGAATGGGCGTTATGTGGACCTGACAACGGATGAAAGAATTCAGTACACATCCGGGTTTATAAAATTAATGGACGTTTTAAAAAGTAAAGTCTACAGAACAGTTAGAGTTTTCTTCATGAGTCTGAATAGGCATAATGATGAGTACGATTTGTATGCACGTGGTGTGTGGAAGTCCGTCCAACATAGCAAAGGGGAGAGAATCCAGTTTGCCACGAACAGTGGAGACACAAAAGAAGGTGCAATCAGAAATTGCGTAAGAGACAAGGGTAACAGTCGAAATGATAGACTATTCAAGAGTTATGACTCCTTGGTGGGCCAAAAATTAATTCCCAAAGGGGACACCCAGGATGATGGATCTAACTTAGAATGTGACCGCTCAAGCATTAGCAGCTACTTTCCCCATCCCAGTGACGTCTACAATTATCTGTACTACCAGGAACTGCTAAACATTAAGAACAAGTTATCAGCCAGGGTTATGGATGATGAAAATCGCGATCTGATAAACTATATCAAATTTATGGAGACAAAAGGCGAAGTATATTGTTTGAGGGGAAATGGGAAGGACAGGGGTTCATCGGTTGGGAATACAACCAACCGGAGCAGCGTTATAGGGAACAACTCTACACAAAGTTGGTTACCCCAGAGTGATAACCGCCCACACAGGAGGCCAAACGAAATAGGTGGCCGATTCTTTGACCAAGTGGTCACGGTGGCAAATAATACCAACATGGGCTTTCACGAAACGGGGGGTGGCGATGGCCACAGGGGGAAAGTTGTAAGTTTTTCCTTATCAGATGAAGGGGATAATCCAAATGTAGATAACAATTTTTATGAGCAAAAAAGAAGAGAGGGATTTAATCTAAGGGGGAAGGTAAATTACACCGGCTCAGAAGGTTTGCGCAGATATGGGGTTAATGGGGAGGAAGAAAATATTCTGAACGGGTCAGATGAAAATGAAGGCGGGGTTCAATTCATGGCCCCCGGGCAGGGGTACTCCCCGCCGCTGGGGGAGGTAGAAGTCGACGGCGAGTATTGCGCCGTAGATGGGAATTACACAGGCGACGGAAACATCAAAGCAATGGTCTCGTTCAACGACATGGAAAACAATTTCAGGAGTATAATGCCGCAGCTCAGTGAGGGGAATGAGGATGCCCCGGAGGATGAGGCGTATGAGAGCAATCGAAATTTGTGTGAGCAAACCATTGTTAACATAACGGATAAGTTAAGTAGAATCCATGACAAGAATTTTCGATGGCTTGTAGGTGAGGGCCCACCGGATGTGCTCAAAGTCAACCCCATGGGTCAGTACTCCTTCGGAGAGGACGAGGGGTATGGTTATGGAGGTGGGGCGCGTCGCGAAAAATATTGTGCGCCATTAAGAAGTGAAGAACGTGCAGCAGCGTTGGCGAAGCATTTGTGACCACGGTAGTGGGTGTGACAACGCAGAGGAAAATCACATCTTTCGAGGTCCATATAATTTTTTTCGTTCCCGTTTTTTTCCTTTTTTTACTGATTACTTTTTAAGCGCCTCATAAATGGAGTGACAAAGCTGTGGTGGGCTTCTTCCGATTGGGTAACACGAAGGGTTATCATGGAGTTATCTCCGGGCTGAAGCAGCGGGGGGCATTTCGCACACCTCAGGATAGTGGGTGAATGTATGTACATTGGTAGGACGCATACAAGCGAGGGCACCACCGTCTGTCGGTAGTTATATCCCTTGGCCATCCCCCGTTTAATGCGTTACTCCGTTTTTCCTTCTTTTTACGATGTTTGCTGTTTTTTTTTATTACACATGTATGTGAGTACCTATGACAGTTCTCTTTTTCCCCTCAACTTGTTCCATTGGTCACACCCGTGACAAATGAGCTCTGATTATTTGGCACATGCAGATTGCAGTGCGCAATTCTTCGTTTCACCCGAAGGGAGTTAACTTCATTTTTTTCGTGGGCTTAGCAGCGTAGAACTGAAACCGCCCTTGGTGGGAAAAAAATAATATTCTTTTTTAAATTCGCTAGCGGAGTGTGTGCGTTAACAGGGGGCGGAATAACCCTCAGATGGGTGGAACTTTAACGGAAAGGAAGAAATGACAGAATTAAGTGAAAAAAAAAAATAGCGTTAAAAAGAAAAAAAAAAGGGACTATCGGTAGATGTACTACAAAAGAAGCTGGAAAAACGTGGATCCATTTTGTGACGTAGTATAGAGGGCGGCCTGTTTGTCCCTTTTTGTTTTTTTTTTCTTTGCGGAATATACATTTGGAGTAGGCGAAGAAAGGAAGAAGCCCCTGGCGGGGAAGCAGCAGCATATCCACTTGGCAGTCTCACTTTGCAGTTGTGGCAGGGGCATGCGTTCACCACTTGCGCAAACGATCTGTGCGCTGTTGTACGCAATCAGCCTTTGCAGGTGCTTCTTCTCCATCGGCGGAGGGGAACCCAGAAGGACCCACAGACGGGGCAGACACCCAAGTGTAGGAGAAAAGGAAATGCAAACTGTTCTGAGGAAGGGAAGCATCACACATCTTTGTAACAAAATAAGATGTGCAAATCATGTGCAATGGTATGATGGGAGAAGGCGAATAAGTAGTGCCACAGTGAGCAGTGGGAAAAGGAGTCCACTTAGTAGCCGCCTCATCAGCTCATTCGAGACAAAAATACCCGGAAGCCAAGTAGAACTCGTAGTCGACGGAATAGCACTCACCATTTATGATAATACAAATATATTCAAGGAAGAAACCAGTAGCACCCCGATAGTGTTAATTCACGGGTGCTATGGAAGCAAAAATAACTTTCGCGTTTTTAGCAAGAGCTTAAGGAGCAGTAAAATTGTAACCATCGACTTACGGAATCATGGAAACTCAAAACATACAGATAGTATGAAATATGAAGAAATGGAAGCTGACATAAAAAAAGTTTTGGATGAGCTTCACATCAGGAAGTGCTGCCTAGTTGGTTTTAGTTTAGGTGGGAAGGTGTCTATGTACTGTGCGCTAAAAAACGAGTCTCTTTTTTCGCACCTGGTGGTGATGGACATCCTTCCTTTTGATTATAATGAGAACAAATGGCATGTGAAGCTTCCATACAATATTAGCTATATGACGAAGATTCTCTTTGACATTAAGACCAAGATGCGCCCGAGGAGCAAGGCCGAGTTTGTGGCCCATCTGCGAACACAGATCCCGGACCTATCCAGCTCCTTCGAGCAGTTCATCTGCACGTCTCTCAGGGAACAAGGGGCAAAAGTGGGGAAAACAGAAAAAGAGACGGACGCAGCGGAAGTGGCGGGGAATGCAGCTAGAGTGGTGGATAAGGCGATGGATGGAACAGACTTCGTCGGTGCTTCGAACGTGGGGGCTTCGAACATGAATGCTTCAGACTCGATTGGCTATTCGAAGGGCCCGCCTACCGAGCAGCAAAACCTCGTTTGGAAAATTAACGTGGACACCATATACAGAGAACTCCCCCATATTCTCAGCTTCCCACTAAACCACCGAGAGTGCAAGTATCACAACCCCTGCAGTTTCATCATTGGCACGAAGTCAGATTTGGTGTATACCATGCCGCAATACCAATCCATTATACAGAATTACTTTCCCTCCAGCCAAAATTTTATTTTGCCTGATGCGACTCATACTGTTTATATTGACAATGCAAAGGAGTGTGCTGATATTGTTAATAGGACATTGCGCTTGTAATTTTTTTTTTTCTTTTTTTCGCCTTACTGTGTTGGTTGTCCCCCCGTGTGGTAATTACACTCGATAGATGTTCCATCATTGGGGGGATTACCCCTTTAGCGAGCACCCCATTCATGTGAATGGGGCGTTCACATCGATGTTGTGCTCTGAGCAGAGCTCCGTAAGTATCGTTTTACTACTATTATTATTTTTTTTTTTTCAAGTTTGTAAGTATGTCACTGTTGTGTTGTGTACATGTCGAACACATCTACATATGTATCTGCCCTTGGAAAGATGCCAACCTCGTCCGCCATCACACCACACGGGGGGGGTCTATCCCTTGGATGAACCGCGTATATCTGTTCCTCAACCGTCTCATTTCCTCCTCCTGTCCCTTTCACCGATCAGTGGCAACAACGGGGTGTTAGAATATGCACAACTCAGTCTTTATGAGGGTTCTTTGATTGCAGGTTCTAAGTTTTTACCTTAAAAAAAAAAGGCAACACTGTGATGTGATAACACAGTGTCATGATAACATAGTGACATGATAACATAGTGACATGATAACATTGTGACATGATAACATAGTGATATGAAAACGTGAAATGACTGCAGGGTTGCAGGAACAATGGGAAGGGGGTAGTGCGTCCCCACAACAAAACAGAACAACAAGGACACAAGGGCGAGGAGGTGTGCCCAACAACAACATGTGCGGCCTAGCAGCTGATTAGGCCAGTACGTATGCAAATGAATCCGTGCACAGAAGCATCATTGTGCAGATGTGTGAATATATACTTCCACACACTGACACAAAACAAGGCAATGGAACGAACAAGGGGACTGGCGCGTATATAAAGAAGGGAACAAATGGAAATATATATATGTGTGTTTTTGTATGTATGCGTGCACACCTTTATATGCCGGAAGGTCTCCTCTTTGCCGGGTTCCGTATAAGGCGGCACGCCCAGCTACACACACGCGGACGCAGGGGAAGGGCTAGAGCAGAGTGAGCCACTTTTTTTTTCGGAAAAACAAAGAAAGCATTTTCATGTTGAGTGAAATGAAGACGGGTACCGTTCGGCGTGGGCCCGTGGTGACTTTGAAGTGCGGGGAGGAGCATAACACACACAGGGTATGGTACCACCATCGCGTGGTTCCTTTCCCACCTCTAAAAGTATACCTTCTTTTTTTTTACCAGGCTGATATGCACAAGTTAGACCACATACCAGTGTTCATATTACCATCTGGTTGATGTACCAACTCTATAGGATAAAAGAATAAAATAACCGTGTCTTCCCCGTGACGTAAACGTGCCATGGCTAGCTAGATATTCCCAAGAAGTACGTTATTGTTCTCACTGACAATTGAGCTGTTAAAGGTGAGGTCGTTATGAACAGTGTTACACCCATCGTCGTCCTTATTCTTGCGGCAATTCTTCCCAAATATGGTTTGGCCTTTAACTTTGGAGAGTCTAACTTTGATTGCCCAGAACTTTGACTTATAAAAACCATGTGTTTTTGCAGAGAAGGATTTATAATAACGCTTGCCATTGTCATACCAGGAGGCAATCCAACTCCTCTTGTCCCAATAGACCCCTGCGACATCACATTTCAGATCATCGGGGTTCTCTAGGTTAGGCCCTTCTTTATCGGATAACTCCAAGAGGTACTCAAATTCGCTTTCATTTTTTATAATTTTGGTATTGGTTCTACTGACCGTCCCATATTTTTTTATATTTTTTTTTTCCACACTCTTGTTGTTATTGATTGTGTTTCTTTTGCCTCCTTTTCTTCTCTTAGTGGTGTTTGCTGATGCATCGTTCGCGTTTTTGAATCCGTCATTGTTTTCATTCTTCACGTATTGCATTAATCCATTTGCGCTTAATTTTTTGGCTATGGATAAGGAGTCTCCGTTTTGGAGGGCCATGTCAATACTGTTGTTGCTTATAACTGTGGGGATGCCGCTACTGAAGGGGGCAGCGCCGCGGTGGCAACCGTTGTTGTGGTTTGCCCCGTCCATCCCATCTCCGTGTCCGCCGTACTGAGGAGGCGCGTTGTACAGTTCCACCTTGAATTTGTCATTGACTCGCGAATCGGCTTTGCCGTACGCCTGCAGCAATTCCAGAGCGTCCTTCGAAAGCGCACCAGGTAAGATTGCGATGTCGGTCTTCATGCCGTTCTTTTCTCTGTCATAAAGGAGGGTACTACCATCCTGCAGGGCTCTGCTATTCCCATGGTTGTACATTTCCCTGTGGAGAGCATACTCATGTTGCCTTTTCCTTCCAGCTTTTCCATGCTCACTCTTCGTTTGGATCCTCTTTAAATGATCGTCACAGGCTGAGTAAACATGGGCCAAATCTTTGCCATATTGATTGTTGCTGTTGATGTTGTTGTTCATGTTGCTCATTCCGTACATGCGCCCAACCTGTTTGCAATTATTTTTTACATGTTCAGGGAGACCATTTTCGAAGTTATCCTGCACGAACTGATCCTGCTTTTTCATCGCTCCTTGGTTGTTGTTACTCACGTGGGTGACTGCATACATGTAGTTGCTATTAACGCTGTTGTCACTGCTGTTTAGGTCGTTATAAATGGTCGTTGGAACAGTTGCATCGACCCCACCAGCAACTTTTTCCACTTGATTACTATGCGAAAATATTTTCAACTTGTTTCTGTTCTGAAATGCACTTTTCAAATCGTACACGCTGGGGTTGCCATTACTCTCCCATATGTGCATGGAGTGAGGATAATCCGAATTCAACTTACAGCAGAGGTCGTCCAATTTTACGCACACTGTGTAAATGGTGTCGAACCACTGATTGTACTTATCATCTGTGAAATCGACGTTACTGCAGAGGTCTGCCTCTTTGGTGTTGCTCTGTATAGTGTGGTTGTCCAGGACCCTGTTATATGCGTCGCTTACCTCGCAGTGGTTCCCCGGGCTATCGTCATGTGCGCAGCTAATTACACTTTGGTGATCGTGGAAACCCATCATGCTTTGCAGGTTCATTTCTTCTTTAAAATTGCGATCATTAATCTCGCTCTGCGGGCTTTGGTTGTACAGGACGTGGTGGTGGCGATACAGGTCGTGGCGCGTGTTTTCTTCGTTCGAGTCGTCCACGTGGTGCACGCCGCTTCTGCCATTCATGCGAGCCATGTTGTCCATGCCCCCCCCCACACCAACCCCATTCATGCCGTTCATCTCGCTGATCCCGTTCATCTCGCCAAGCAATTCTCCCACAGCCCCGTGCTCGCTGAGCTTGTGGAGGATAATGTCCTTACCCATACTTCCCATATTCTCGATCTTCATGCAGCTCATGGTAGTGTCCAGACTTCTTTTTTTCACCAAGTGATCATTATTCACGTGACCAAAGTTTGGCTTATGGATAGTGCTGCTAGCTACCTCTTGGGTTATTTTTTTAAAAATCATTTCTTTGTTCCTTTCCAAAGACATGTTGTTGTCTTCCATCATATCATTAACGATCGTATCTTGACTAACTTTTCTCATCAGCATTTCGTTGTTCTTATATTCGATGTGATCGTTGTCATTGTCCTGAAAGGTGGTATCTTGACTTATTTTTTTCTTCATTATTTGCTTGGGGATTGTATCTACTGGCACTTCTCTGTGCACGGGATTGCCCATCTTCATTTTCTCATTTAGGTAATTCTCCAGCTGTTCGGCGTTGATGAAGTTGGCCACGCCCTGGTCGCTCACGCTGTTTACGCCATTTACACCGCTTCCACTACGTCGGCCAGTTCCGTTGTTTGCACTGTTTAGATGATTCGCCCGAGCCAGGTCACCATTCGTGATTCCATTGGTTCCATAGGACAGCTGTTCCCTCAGCTCCTCTCCTTGGGTCTCTAAAGGTAATGTGCACATGTCCATGTGATCGTCTATGGTAGCACCGTTTTTTAGATTTTCCATATGGGGATTCTTCTGCAAGTTGTTGACTCCTACCGGTTGGACACAGTTGCGATGGTTTGTAGAAAAGTTCTTTGTCCCTTGGTCCATGGCTAAAGGTTGATTGTCGGACGGGTACGGCTTTGTGTGTTGCGAGGGAAATTGCTTCGAATTCTGCCTCCGTATCTGCTTATGGTTCAGGCCCTGGTTTAGGTTTCTCAGCGGCACTTCGTTGAAGCTTATGCTGCTCCTAACTGGGGGAGAACTCGCGGCGGAGTTTGGCGCGGTCTGCTCCATTGGTGTGTGAAGTGGGACTTGCGCGGTTTGTGCGGTTTCCGCTCTCGGTGTGCCTTTTTGGCCTTTGGAGTTTCTCTGACTGGACGCGATTTTTTCGCTTCCCTGGTTCTTTCCCCAATTGGGGTAGTTTTCGCTTCTAATGTTTTCCGTTTTTTTTTCACCCTCTATAGTTATTTCGTGCTCTACATCTATTTCGCGTTCCACCGCTATTTCGTGTTCTACAGCTATTTGGCGTTCTATAGCTATTTTGCACTTCGCTTTATTTTCGCTTTCAAGGTTGCTTTCAATTGTATGGCTGCTTAATTTTTCTGCATTTGTGCTTCTACCTATGTTTGTTTCATCTTCTCCATCTTTTCCGTCCTTTTCCTCTCTCTGCAATTCCAGTTCAGCGTCACGCACGTCAGGAGGTGCGCATGGCAATTTTGTCAAGGGTGCATGCGCATGAGCGACCTCATTCGGTGGGGATATTTCACATTCTTCATGCGTTTCTCGCGGAATAGAATCCATTTTAGCGTCCAGCGAGGTAGGCATTGTGTCAGGGTTTGCTCGTCCTGCAAGATCCTGCATTTTCTCACTTCTATTTTCTGGTGCGTTAAAAGTAGTACACGCATTAGGTAGGGCGTTTGCACAAACGGTGGTCCCGTTTGGAATGGCAATGCCGCCTGGGTGCGCAATGTCGCATGGCTGTAAAGCATCGTTTGGTGTTTCGCTTCCTGTAGTGACTTCCTCACGGGGCACACCTTCGGTTCCGCGCGCAGCTATCAATTCGCTAGATGGCACGGACGCACATGCATTTATATTTAGCTTGTAGGATCCTTCCACATCGGCCTGTGCCACATGAAACCCTAGTGTACCGCACGGGGGAGTGCTCATTTTGCTTCCCCCCAATTCGACATCATCACAGTTTGTACCCAACTGGTGGTCACACGTTATGGTATTATTAACGGGGCTAGAAAAAGTACTTTTTTTTTTGGCGTTACTTAAATGGGAATCATCTCCTACTTCTGTAATGTCTTTTTTTTTTTTGTATTCATTTTTAGTTATTTCACGATTGATCCATGTGTAACCATCTATTTCGATTTGGTTCGCAGCACTTTCGCTGCCTCCCACGCTGTCACGACTTCTACTCACAGCATTGCCTGAGCTTGTAGAATTTATTGCTTCATCAGAGGGGGCGCTAACTGTTGGTTCATTTCCCTTCTGTAGCACCTCGTCCTGATTTTTACATTTTTCATTTTGCTCCTCCTCTATGTTTAAATTTTCCTTTTTTTTTTTTTCCTCCTCTGGTGATGCACTTGTTAATTTGTTTGCGAGTCCATCATTCGAGTTATCTTTAGAAGTGGGTCTCACTTCCTCGCCTTCTCCGTCTGTTTCCTTGGAGTCACTGCTGAATGTATTTACCTGAGCATGTTCGTATTCATTACCCGAACTGATCAATGCGTTTGGCTCCTGAATGGGCGGTAAATTTGCCTTATCAGCATCGCAATAATCACCACGTTGATCTTCCCTTAGAGAGGTTTGACCTTTGACATGCCCATTCTTCATACATTCCACCTCTACTGCATCCCTTTCTTGTTGTCCAAAAAGTGTATAATCATTGACATCGCTCGAATGGCTTCTTTCTAAATCATTATTTTCTCTCTGCGTGTGTTGAGTAACTTCCTCTGTTGTTTTGTTCTGCTCCTCTTGGAGGCTCCATTTGGCACGCCCATTTGCTTGTTTCTCTTCGATGGGGAGATGGCTGCTCGTTTGGCTCCCCAGTTCTTCGTTTTGTCCGAGGTCCAAATTATTTTTGTTCATTTCGACGGATTCCTGGCCTTTCACTGGGGGGGCGGCCTCGCCCGAGTCAACTCCCCTGTCATTTGTATGTTTGCCCGTGTGGCCCTTCATAAGTCCATTTTGGTATTCAGTTCGTTCGCCACTCCCTTGACCACTTCCTGGGTCACTTCCTCGTTCATTTGCTCCTCCATGGGTGCCTACGTCACCCTCATTTGGTTCAACATTTTGGGGAGGGTCTTCTATCCCACTTAACGCCGAGTTCGCCAAAGTATTGACACACGAGTCGTGCCTCTCAAGGGGAATGTCACTGTTTGCATTCACCTGTTCACACATGGGTGTTTCTTTGCCCAGGCTAACATTCGACTGGGTTGATTTTGTCGCAGATCTGTTTTCGCCGGCTTGCATATATAAACTAGCCGCTTCCCCCAGATTAGTAACCTCACTGTAACACCCTAATGTCTGCAGCTCTTTCATTCTGCATTCATAGGTAGGATTTCCGAGTGGTACATCCCTGTTCGTGTCCTTCACATATCCTTGGTTTCTATCACCTTCTATGCCATTGGTCCAGTTGGATAAGTTATTCATTTTAGTTAATGTTGGTGGGTATGCTTAGTGGGTCCTCCTTTGAAATGTCACACATGAGATTTAATCGGAGGAGATACTCAAAGATTAAATGACTGATGGGCGTAATTTTTACTATGATACCTCGTGTGTTATTTCGTTGTCCTGTTTGGTTCACTTGTTTGAAGCGGCGCTTCTGCAGTGGTGCGTATGTGTCTCCCGGAATTTGCCTGTATCTGGGTATTTCCTTGTGTTTTTGCGCGTTTGTTAGTGTGTGTGGTTGTTGCATCCAGCCGAGGGCGGACGTTACTGGTCGTTTTGCTTTGCCCTTATTCCTTTTTTACCGTGTGTATTTTGTTTTTAGCCCTTTCTTTCCAACGTATCAATTTTACTCTCCCTCTACGAAAAAACACTTTTCGCTATCCCGAGTGGTGTGCAGAAATGGGTAGCTATAGTGACGGGCTCTGTGGAGACGGTGTACTTGACACTTCACATGTGGGAGTTATCGAATCAATGATAAGAGGCATAAAGTGTGCAAATGGTACAACGAGTGGGAAAAAAAAAAAAAAATGGCTCGACAAATGCAGGTCCATCGAACTAAGATTGTCCCCGCTGAAGTAAACCTAGTTCGATATGCACTTGCACGTGAATATGACAGTTGCGCTGGGCCTTCTTGTGACGATCTTTTATCGTCTCCCCTTATGGCGCCTTTTCAGAGAACTTGCTACAAGGCGTGAAAGCTACGGTACACACATGCGAATGGGGGTGTTGTCCGAAACGAGGATTTTTGCGTATGCACATTCGCACATACGAAAAGATACGCTGTGGTGAAAATGAACCGTCGCCTTTTACAAAAAAAGTTGACACATCAAGGTGTGCATGTGTAGCTGTCGTCGTAGTTGTAGGCTCGGGCATGTACACATAAACATACACATTGGTGCACATATACGAGCACAAGGAAAAATAATTAATTAAAAAATTGTCCCACAACTTCTTTCCATTGAAGAAGAGGTGTGAAAATACAACAAACTAATTAGTTCTTATTTTTTTTCAAATTAGCAAACTTAATTTTTCTAGCTAATTTAATTAAACCCGACATGTAAAAGAAAAAAAAAAAAAAAAAAATATGCAACAAGCTCGACTAATCTATATTTTCACAAGTCATACTTTTGGTGCGCGTAAAAATGAGAATTGTTTTTTCTTTTTTGTTTATTTTTAAAATTTGGCAGATCATGCAAATGAGAAAAAAAAAAAAAAGGAAAAGTCGGCGAGACAGAGAAGAAGAGAAGGAAAATATCTATTTTAATTAAATTTGAATTTGACTGTGTTTTTAAATCACAGCAATCATGTGGGGAGTTACGCTCATGTATACGCGTGTGTGTGTGTATGCGTATATTCCTATATGTACACTTGCGCGGGATGGTTGAAAAATTTACAAATGAGAGGCGGGTGAGAGGGCGAATTAACAAATGGAGGATGGCGAAACGCGTCAACCGCAGCGACAGAGAAGAAGGCTGTAAAACAGGGGCGTAGAAAAACCCAAATAACAAGTGCACAGAACAAGGGTATAGATCCACAAGAACAACGGGCAACAGTGAGCATGTAGCAACGAGCAACTAGCGTGGAGCGTGTGACAAACTGCTGAATTAACAAACCCGTTGCTCCGTGCAAAGGGGAAGTGCCGTTCCGCATGGTCCTCAAGGGGAAAATGCGAGATGCGAATTACATGGAACCACGCGAAAGGGGAACACACAGGGTGGATTCACACAAACGCGCGCGCTAACATAGTGTGTGCAGGTGTAGAAACATATGCACACGAATAGGAACGCGAAAACGAGCACACGGATAAGTACACACTCGTAATAAAGGGGTATGTAGATATATGGCACACTTCACTAACCGCAAATGAGTTGGCAAAATGGAAGAAATAAAATCATCGCCTTCCACTTGCGTATATGTTACATGTTGCCAATACTTTTTTTTTTTCTTTACAACATATTAATAGAATAAAATGTGATAAAAAAAAAAAATGAATAGATTTAACAAATCAGCGAGTTGTGAAAAAATCTTAAAGAAGTGGATAATGCGAATAATTCCATCCGCACAGGAAAAGGCAATTCATTAATTATACAAATGTGGGGGGGGATTCAAACGTGAGAATATGTTCAAGGGGAAGGTTCCTTTTTTTCTATTTGCTTATATTTATTTACTTGCATTTAGTTGTATTTATTAATATACACTTATGTTTAATTCTTTATCTGTTTTTTATCTGCTTCCGATCTGGTTGTGATCTGTTTTCTACCTGTTTTTTTTATCTGTTTTTTTTTTTCTTTTAACTTGGTGTTCTATGATTCCACGGCAAAAAATACAGTTATGAGGAAAAAAAAAAAAGGAAAGTGGGCTGCATGGGCCGGTGGGGGTATAAAGTGCAGTAGATGTTTTCTTTTAAAGGAAAAAAGGAATAAGAAAGAGCAGGAGACGTGGAAAAATAAAGGGAAAATGGGGGTGTCACCACGGCTCCACACCACGCCGCCGTCCCGAATTGCAACTGCTCCATGTGCCGCGGCAACAGGGAAGCGCGAATTTCGAAGCGTGGATTGTAAATTCCGGGGTACTATTTTTAGGCTACCTTTTCCCCGTAACACTTTTCACGGGGCGAATTACACTTGAACAGTTTTTCCCTGTTGGTAGATAGAGGGGGCACGACGTGGAAATTCCAACATGGGGGTTTAAAAAATGCGAATGATCGCCACAAGGGGCGTCGGTTTAGCAGATTGGGGCTGCCGTGAGAGCGTCGTGTAACTGTTTCTTTGGCCTGTTTGCCCGCCCTCCTGGGCGCCTCGCTCACGCCGTCCATTTTACACATAAGTCGAGCGCCGCACCGCAGAATAAGAAAAAATAAGAAGGTGAATAAAAACAAAAGTAAAAAAGAGCAAGAATTGGGGAAAAATGAGAAAAGGGGAAAAATTAAGAGAAGCAAGAAATTAAAAAGAACAGAAAATGATAAACATGGAAAAACACACCAGGGTAAAGATTGCCAGTTGGTGAAATTGACCTCCTCCCCTCGGAACAGAGGGATGATCCCCGCGGCGGAGGCGCTTGCAAACGTTCACTCAGGGGTGCCCCATTTCCCGGTCTGCTTCTGTCTCACTCTGATTTTGATTGCCGTCAACGATGCGCAGAAAAGGGTTCCTTTTTTTCTTTTTTTGCTCAGAAATAAAAGAAAAAAAAAAAGAAGTCAAATTGGCCGCATTTCATCCCAATTAGCCCCAATTTAATAACACAAAATACACACAGGCACAAAAAGGTTTCCAAAAAAATAAAGGAGTTCTCCTCTTGGGTCATTTCCAGTCAGGTGGAACATACCCAATTGGGGAGTCATTTCATTATCTGAGTTCCTACATTATCCTAGCGGCACATGCCTGTGGCTTAGATGAACATAAACAAATCGAAAAATGGGCTCTTCCTTTCCGCTGTTGGTTCACTCTGATGTTTCTATTTGTTCTATTCCGATTTGTTCTATGCTGTTCTAGCTTTTTTTTTTCTTTTTTTTGTTCCCCTCGCGCAGATGAAGCGAAAAAAAAAAATATGCAGACGTATCAATATGTGTCATGTTCCTCCTTTTTAAGCAAATGAATGGTGAGGAAAAATGACTTTACGCAGACGACCATGGGGTGTGTTTCTCTTCGCAGCGGAGTAATGTCAAGAGGTAATAATATCATTCACGTGTGCGGAGCGAAGTGACGGGGAATCCTCTGAGGAGGTTTTGTGTGCTGCGTGGTAAAACATAAAAACAACGGCTAATGTTGACTTCCCGAAATTAACGAGGAGGGTTATGCATCTGCCCCAGAGTAAACAAACCGGCGCAAATTCACTGTTAACTTACACCTAAATGGCGACCTAGGGGATTGACTCAGTCGCCATTCACCTCACCTTCCGTGTGCATACACCGGGGCGTAACTACATGCTTGAGTGCACACCAGCATAATGTTATTGGTCTCCCTTTAATTTTGTGCGGGGAAAAAAAAAAAGAATAATTTCCGAAGTGGTAATTAGGTGTTGCTCATACACATTCTGCATGTAAGAGGGGGAGGAACAAAATCCAGTTGGTGGGTAAACAGACGGTCGGGAGAAAGGGACAAACTTGGTTGTGAAGTACGCTGCCCTCAATGGGGGCAGGACGCTTCTTAAGGTGAGTATCACCTCTGAGCAGCGTCCATTTGACGATATATTCTTCCCTTTTCATGTGTGAACATTTATCTGAGTTGTATGAACCAGACGCAGTGCTTCTGAATAGGAAGAGTGCCGAGCCGAGTGTTGCCAGAAAGGAGCAGGGGGAGAAGCACACACATAAAGCAGCCCCATATAAGTGCACTTCCGTATAACCTGTTTGAGGATGCCGACATAGATATGGATCGACTGAGAGGGAAGTCAGTTAATGTAAGGAGGCCCATAACATACGGACGGAAATTCTCAATTGGGAAACGATTCATATATGAGTTTCCTTTCGCGTGCATACAGGTTCGGGCTGCGAGGAAGAACGGGGGCAAGTGGAGGCCCCTCGTACTTTGAGATCTTATGCGTGCAATTTCGCAAGTGAGGTTGAACGACTTTATAGCAGGGCACAACTTGAACAGTTTGAAAATTTTGAACGGCTTGAAACTTTTGAAAATTTGCACAATTTGAACAATTTCGAAGAAATTGTCACCAGTTTTTTGGCCCCACGCTTAGATTCTTCTTCTTGTTTTTTTTCTTTTTTTTTTCTTTTTTCTTTTTTTTTCTTTTTCCTTTTTTTTGTTTCTTTTTTTTTTTTTTTACTACCCTGCATGTGCCTCTGCGTAAGCGAAATTTATGCATTTGCTTCGCTCGATTTTTCGCTTTCACTTTTTTGACTTTCTTTATGTAAGACCGTTATAACGCGAAAGCGAGAAAGAAGAAGCTGAGGAATGTGCCGCTAACTGCAACGAACTGGGAGGGAGCTAGAGAAGTATATATTAATATGAAACCCCCTCCCCTCTTTCCTGGACTAAAATGAAATTATTCTTCTTTTCCTTTGCGTTGGTTTACCTCCTTCTGGTAAACAATGTCAACTGCCTCTTCAAGAATGCGATCAGCGGGTTTTACTGCAACGATGAGAACTGCTACGGTATTTTAGGTAAGACGAGGGGAGGAATAGGAAAAAGAAAAAGAGAGCCTTAGACACAGGAGGGGAAAACAAGTGGTTGGGGACTCCAACGAATGGTTGTCTCTACCCCAAGAGATGGGCCAATCGCGGTGGAACGTTGTCTGGTCCAGTCATACAGAAGCGTAAACATTTCCTCCTCCCCTCCCTCGCAGGTGTCAGCGAAACAGCGAGCATGAACGAGATCAGGTCGGCTTACCACAGGCACCTGATGAACCTGAAAAATAACTATGACTCGGAAAAGAAGAAAAAAATTGTCAAGGCATACCTCGTCCTGGCCAACAAACGAACGAGAAAGTATTATGATTATTATTTGAAAAACCCAAACAGTATTCTCAATGTGATATACTTCATTTTTTATTGTGTGTTGAAGCTCATAAAGGTGATAATCGCGTTGATAATTATTGGATTCCTGCTATGTGGCTTCCAATATTTCAACAATAAGTATGAAATGAAGAGGCGGGTGCAGAAATTGTCCAAAAATAAAGCTTTTAAGAAGGAGGTGCAAAATAGGATAGGGTCACAGCATCCTGATTTCCGCACGTATGACATGGCAATGAAGAGGAAGGTAGAAGAAGACATCGAAATTGAAGTGGCACACGAGATGGGACTTATATACAAGAAAAAGGAAGAGAAGTTTCCCTTCTCTGACTTAATAATCGTTAAGCTGTTGCTTCTTCCGAAACAAATTATCTGCTATATGCTCTGGAACGTTAAGTGGTTGATAAAGTACCACATTTTGAATGACGAATATGACGAGAGTGACAAGTTATACATTACGAGGAAGTGCCTGAACATTCCTGCCCATAGGTGGGATGCCCTCTCGGAGGAGGATAAGAAAATGCTTTTGAAAAAGCAGCTGTGGGTGAAGGAAATTCAGGACGAGTTTTTTGAAGAACAGATGGAGAAGGAGCGACTGAGCAAGATCTCCAGCGCAAAGTATAAGAAGCAGGTGCGGATGAAGAAGAAGGGAAGCAGCTTTAACTACAACGATTAGAATGTGTGGATCAAGCAGGTAACACGTTCCTGTGTCCAGTTTGATGAGGCGTTTCATCTTTGTTAGCAGTGCTTGGGCAAGGAACCAAGGTCAACCCTTTTTTTCGCTCAGTTCTTTTTGGCTCCGTTTTTTTCGCTCTGTTTTTTTCGCTCTGTTTTTTTCGCTCCGTTTTTTTCTCTCCTTTTTTTCGCTTCCTTTTTTTGATCAGCGCCCACTCAAGTGAGTAGCTTGGCGTAACGCAACTGGACGTGGCCTCAAACTCGCCATTATTCGTTGCATTCTGGAGAAGCATCTCCCGAAAAAAAAAACACCTTGCCCTTCTCAGCCGTGCGTCCCAGTTAATAGAAAACGGCGCGGACGCAGAGGGTGACCTATGTGCCCTAACACTTCCGATACCCACAACGCGGTGAATAATTCTCACAGTAAGGGGGCACTGCAACCCTATCTTATGTTTTACCCAATCTGGCACCTTACAACCCAGGATGACATTTTCAAAAAGGTAATTACAAATGATGCCAAGGAAATAAAAAGGGGGGGTGATATTAAAAACACAAACATATGGGAAAAAAAAAAGGAGCCGTTTCAGCCGAATTGAACGTGGAGTGAAACAAATACAAGAACAGATTTTTGGCATGACAAATCAAACTGTGGAAGGAAAAAAAGAAAGGGGTGAAACGAGGGAGGGGCCCAAAGGATTATACAGACCTCCACCGTTGCGACTTCTACCCTTGGTGCTTCTCCACGTTGCGATGGGTAGGTGGAGCTCCTCCGCTAGGTCTTAGTCTGGTCCTCCAACACCTCCTTGACGCTGACCACCTTGTCCTTCAGGATGAGGAGCGCCTTTCTGAAAATGTCAGCCGAAGAGAAACAGCCCGTGGATTCGATGGTGAAAATAAAATGATTCTTGACCTTTTCGAAGGAAATCTTTTTGGGGTATTTCTCTATACACACTCTGCAGGATGAGCAATTTAAGGGGTTTTTGGCAACCAAGGTGTCACTGTCCTCCACATCGAAGACATTCTTTGGGCAGATGCTTACGAGGTCGTGTTTTTCTTCCTTGGTAAAGTTCTCACATGTATTAAAAGAAAACGCAGGGTACATTTTATACACGGCAGTGCATACGGGAGACCACTTGGCATGCGTCTTCCCAATCCCTTTCTCCAAAAAGCAAATCAATTCTATCTCCTGTCCATTACTTAATTTTGTAATCAATATATTATCATCAACAACTCTGGGTGGATTTTTCCCAAATCGTACTTTCTGGTGTTCATTAATGGGGCACCATTTTAGGTCCCTAGAGTAGATGCTCTGACAATTTTCGCTACTTCCAATTTTCTTCGTAAACTTCACATGAAGCTTAAAACAAAAACAATTTAAGTGATTATACTTTTCGTACTCCTCTTTGAAATTAATCAAATCAGCGTCAAACTTAAATGGGATTAGTCCCAAACGGTGGCACAGAATTTCGTCAGCAATGATTCCAGTGTTTTGAAATATATTAACCTTCTCTATAGCGATGGTGGGTACCTCTGCCAACATTATTCTTCTCAGGGCATTTGCAATGGATACGTTTAAGTTCTTCACCTCCAGGATTAGCAAGTTCTCTTCATTTTTGTGCATTTTCATTTCTAGGTTTCTTTCAAATTCATTTATATCAAACATGTGTTCATTTTCGGACAGGAAGTACGATCCGTAGAAATTCGTCGTCGTTGCGTTTCGGGGTCCCTCTTCCTTCAGCTTCACGAAGTTGTCCCTGAACTTCACGCCCTTCATCTTGGTTTGTACGAGGCCTGTCAGGAGGGAAACGATAAAAAGATGATTGGTGGGAAGTACAGTAGCATGGGAGAGTACCAGCAAAATGCACAGCGCGGAAATACGCGATAGGGATGTACCCTTCGCGCAAGTTAATACGCAGAATGCATCGTCACGCGGCAGCCTCTCCGAGACTGCCAAGATGGAGTATCCTGTCCGGTGCGTGCAATTATACCTTTCTTTTTTGGGTCCTTGGATGGGTTCCTCCCTTCGATCAAGCACTTCAGCAAGGTCTCCCTTGTAGCTGAGAGTTTTATCTGTCACTGTTCTGTGACAATTTTACGGCGATACTATGCCAACTGTGTATCGATCATGTCACTATTTTCCATTGATTGTGCCTTCTTTTGAGCCCCTTTTTTTTAAGGCGTTCCCTTCAGACGTCGCGAAAGTTCGCAAAAAGTAGAAGCACATATAAATAATTACACGTCTGGAGCACTATGTACACATGGATGGGGTAGGATGCTCAATTATTCAGGCCATGGGAGTGCCCACTCCTCGTGGCCATTCTTGTGTGCCTCTCAGAGGATGGCCATCTCCGCAAGAATATGCTGCGACGCGGGGAAAGCGAGCAGGACAGGAAAAAACGGCGACACGCAGGGGTTCGGCACAGAACGATGTAATACAAGATGATGGGAAATGGTTTTCCCCTTCTGCGAGATTTCTTTCTCCTTCAAAATGTCTCTATGCAAACGTTAGACATACAAATGTGGCGCTTATGCGTTTATAAACATGCAGCGGAGCTAAATCATGGCGAAGGAATTAACAACCCGCGGGAGAAAAGAAAAACGCTCCTAAGTCCTCTTCCTTTCGCGTATGCAATGTGGCAACGCGAGGAATCCTTTTTTCCTATGTAACATTTTATGTGAACAAGACGGTTTTTTCTTTCTTTAAAATGATAGCAGTTATTTTTTTTAAAAAACAAAAGGAACTCCAAGAATGGTCGCCGTGGTTGGGCACTTTTGCATTATTCAGCTATTTACTGTAAGGAGAAGTAAAAAAAAAAATGTGAAAGGAAAAAAAGGGAAAAGAACAGAACTGACGAAAAATAAAGAAAAAAAAATCGTCGCCTCAGATAATCTTCACCATGCATTAAAGGCAGTAGGATGCCCTATTTTACATGAGTGCGTATATGCCACCATACGGACTTATATACAAAACCCCCGTTGCGATTCCGCAAGGTTCGCTTGAAACGATGGGGATAAGCTACTAAAATCACATTATTGCGCCCCAATACGACGCTTTTTTTTTTAACTGCACCTAGCTGAGATGCCAATGGTATATAAAAAATAAGAATCTCTGATAAAGCAAAAAAGCGTTTTTTCTTTTTCTTCTTCAGTTGCTTTTTCGCTTTTTCCCCCCACACCCCCTTTTTTTTTCCTTTGGAATGGTAGCCCCCTCCACAGGTTAATTTTTTTCGTTTTTCCTGCTTCACCCATTTGTATATTATATAATACCGCATATATTATATATGCGCAATTTAAATTTTCTCCTTTTGCCAGCTGTTTTATAGGGTGCCTATTACTATTGCTGATATAATCGCTCTCAGTGCTATGCAATTTTTTCCCGCAGCAATTTTATATGTCATTCTGCATTATTGAAATTTGCCTATGCCGACGTTCTGTGATAAAGCATTTTATCATCATGTATACATGGCTGCCACAGGGATAACTACATATACACCTTATGTGCAAGTAAACACATACTGTGCTTGCGTGAATAGGATGAAGATTTATTTATATTTCCTCATTTAGGTGCCCCTCATTTTTTAAAATTTGGAATTCGTCATTTTGCCCCCCTTTTGAGGCATCAGATAATTGTAACTTTACATTTGCGCGCTTGTGCGCGTTGCAGCGTAAAATTCAGATGACTATGTTATGAAAAAAAAGAAAAGAAAAAATATATATATATAACCATTCTGAGTATTTTGTTTTTTAATTTGATTTAATGAGATGTGAAGAGAAAGGAATAATAGCAGATAGAACTCGTTTAATTTAATTAGATTTAATTTCCACCCAGAAGAAAAAAACAATTTTTCTCGCCTTTTGAGAAAAAACGCATACGATTTTGTACCGGGGTAATACACAAAAGAGGAGTAGCTCCTGTTGTATCGCCGCGTAGAAGAAAAAAATATAAGAAAATAAAACAACTTTTCGTCATTCAAAACGTAATAAGGCAGACTCGTAATTTCCACTGCGCATACGGCCTCCTTCCCCTCCCCGCCTACACTACCAGTTGTCCTACGTTCATGTGCTAATCTGCCAGTTCCCACGGGTGCACATGCAGCAGTATAAATTGTGACCCTTTTACACTGTTAGAACAGGAAAAGGAGGGGAAGAAACTCACCGTAGTTAAAAATTCAGTCGGAAAATCGTTTTATGTGACCGCTTAGAAGATGCCAAAGAATAAAGGTTAAGTTGTTACATTTTGTAGAGCGCAGCCCCTTTGGGGGCAACACTCTGTGTGCACTGGTGTGACGTATAATTACTCCCACTCCATACACACAGAGCGTATTTCCGAGGAAATACCCCCATTTTGAGAGCATCATGGTTACCAGTTGTGTGGAGCCCGGGCAGGCATTCTTTTATAGGAAGGCAACACGTACGTATGTACAAATTTATTTTATTTTTTTTTTTTGACCGAAAAATTCTGAACAGGGAAGGGAGGAAAAAACAGAAGGAGGGGAAAAAATGACAACGAAGGGGAGAAGCGAGAACTGCTCTACAAGGAGGAAGATCAAGGTCACATTTGCATGCAAGAGACATCGAGGGATGTTTGTGTAATCACATGAGTGCACGTCATTATTCTCTCGTGTGTATGTCGTTATGTACATGTCCATTCGTGTGTCGAAGGGAAGTCACACCCGAAGGGACCCCATGCACTGTTGACTTCCACACGGGTGAATATGCCCCAGCTGTACCTTTTAACCAAAAGAAAAAAAAAACGTAAAAAAAATTCGGTGCCTTTTCCTTCCCTTTTGTAGAATACGCACAAGTGTTAAGAATGTTGGGAAATGGCCGATTGGAGGCCCACTGCTTTGATGGGGTCAAGCGACTGTGTCATATTAGGTATTTCCTGAGGGGGCATGAAAAGAAAAAGAAACAGTACACATGCTTTATGTCCCAACGTGTGCGCGCCGCATAGCTACGTGCAGTTTAAGGTCACATGGTGGTGATATATCCAATTTTTTTTTCCTTCTTAGGGGAAAAATGAGAAAGAGGGTTTGGATAAACTCTGGTGACATCATTTTAGTATCCCTGCGGGATTATCAAGACAGCAAGGCGGATGTTATTGCGAAGTAATTGAGAGCGTCCAAGAAGGACTAATCAATCGCAGCTGACACCATGGGGCCTACCCCCCATTTTTCTGCGTCCGTTCACACACATACAAGTCAGAAAAAAGACATATCAAATAAAAAAAAAAACGTGTTAACCCAATTTACATGGTTTTCCTTTTTTTCTTCCCCTATGTAGATACACACCTGACGAGGCAAGAAGCCTGAAAACGCACGGGGAATTGCCCGAAACGGCCAAAATCAACGAAACGGACATTTTCGATGACGACGCACAGAACGGAGTCGAATTTTTGGACGATGAATCTGACGAGGAGGCCCAGGAAGAAGTGAACAACGCGAAAAAATTGGAAATAGAAGACGTAAGTGGAGGAATTGACAGCAGAGGGGGGGAAGGGCACACCCCTTCCCACATCCACGATGATGCACGTGTGCGCATGTGCATTCGTATGTGTGTGTGCATCTTTGTGTTTACGTAGTTTGCACTTCATTTGAATGTCTTCCCCTATTTTTTCGCGCCTTCCCTTCTTGCAGATATAACGACAAGGACGGGACCAGAAGATGTGCATAATTTGTATTCACATGTGCATCGCGGAAAAATTGAATTAATTACTTTCCGCTTTGTTTGGAAGCGCTCCTTGTTGTTGTGTGCATGTGTGTTATCCCTATCCCACTGTTGCCGTTTTTTGGAAAATATATCTTTATCAATTTATTTTTTGTAACTCTTCTTTCTTTCTCCTTTTTTTTTTTTTCCTTTACCCCCCATAATGTACATATTTAAACCAAACACATATGTTACGCGTATTAGCAAGAAAAAAAAAAATAAAATAAAATGAAGTCAAAATGGCAAGCAGAAGGGCAATCCCGCAAAAGGTTACTTGACGCGCTGGATGGACCGTACTCGGCAACCATGCGCACATTTTGGAGTCACCCCTTAAGGATATGTATATATGTGTGTACATATTAAAATGACAAATGGATAAACGTTCAAGTTGTGCGGCTTGCCAAAAACACGACCGGGAAACGGGGGGGAAAATCATATGAACGAATGGCATATTCTTCGTAGTGCCCCCCAATTTTATCCTTCCGCGTCGCCATTGCCCCCATCTGTGTCATCCATGCTTCCCTCCGGGTTGACATTTGAGATGGTGAGGATAACTTCGGTCTGGCTGTATTCTACATTGTTGTACGAGACGAATACGTGGAATGTTATGAAGCCTGAGGGAAGGGGGGAAACATTTTTAACATTGGAAAAGGGGGGAGATGAGGATAGAAATAAGTGTAAAAATGGGGAAACAAATCTCTACGAAGAGCCGTGTGGGCAAGTGAGCGCACTACTTTCCAGCGGTTGTGCCAATCCCCTAATTTTGTTGACCCCTCTTTTGTTATTACTCATCTGGTCCCTTTGGAAGACCCCTGTAGGGATTGCCGGGACAGCAAAAAGGAAGTTGCCCTGTTTCCCATCGTAGTAGGCCTTTGCGCGTATAATGGGCAGACGGGGGTTACTCAGAGTGACATAAATATGTTGGAAGCTGCTAGAGAGTTGGAGCATGTTTATTCGAATAGGCCTATTGTCGTGTATGTAAACAAAATTGGGTACGATATTGAGGATGTCCGGTTTTATGATTGTGATGGGAAGGGAGCTGGCGTAGAAGTTCCCACCCAGTGAGTAGTACACATTGCATCTGGTGAATCGGTGAGTGTTGATCGTTGTGTCTTCCGCGGTGGGGACGTCCATACAGCTGCTGCGGCCGTCGCTCTCGTTACGTGTGTTGGAATTTCCCCCATCGGAGGGAGCACTATTGATCTCATCCCTGTTGTGTTTCTCCGCTGTTTCGCCTCCGACACCCTCTGGAACGTCCCCGTCCACGATGGATGGAACTTTTGTGTAAATGTAATTTCCACCTCGCCTGAGGCTCCCTTTGCTATATTTGAAAACCTCATTTTTGTACTCATCAGTGAAGTGGAAAAGGACGTAGACGTTGTCGGAGTTGACCTGCATGGGTGCCTTCTTAATTTTAATTCTCAATTTTATATTCCTCATGAGTGCGCAGTTGTCCGGGGAGAGATTCAACACCTGTCCGTTGTAACTGGTCAGCATGATGCTGCACTGATTGTACTGAATGCAGAAATGCTCATTGTATAAGTTGAAGAATAGTTCTCTTTCTATTTCGTTTTGGTAAAATTGGCAGGATGTCCAATATTTTTTTCTTTTTTTTTCCCATAGTGTGTGTGCAGATATGTCAAAGGGGTGGATGCTTCCAGAAAGGGTCGTGTCATCTTTATCCTCGCTTTTGTCTTGTTCGACGACCTCCTCGTCGCTTCCATTGTCATAGCTTAGGTATAGATTCAGCCTCGAGGGGGCTTCCCCATGTTTGCAATCCGGGAAGCCACCACCCCGTGAGGAGTAACTAACCAAATTCTCCCCATCCCTGTGATTAAGCCTGACTCTGCAGTTGAGGGAATCCTTAAGGGGGAAGTTGAAGTGGAGAAAAATGGCCCTATCAGAAGAGGGGTCAATAATTCGGGGACAAATTTTCTCTATTTTTAAATTATCCACAAGGATGATGTTAAAGAAATTACAAAAGATGTCATCGATTTTTTTTTTTTTATTTATCCTGAGAAGGGTGTCTATTTTTTCCGTTTTAGTAACAAGTGAGGGGTTGGTCTTCCCCACGACGTAACAGTTTCGGTTTTTCAAAAGGAGACAGGAGAAGGAGAACCCGCAACATAATTTTGTAACTTTGAATTTGTTCTTGTCTCTCCATTTTTTGATTTTCTTATACGCCTGATTATGCCTCCTGATAAGTTCTACATATTTTGTAAATTTGTCCGTCTGAGGGTACTCCTGTGGGGGATTCTGTTCCCTGTTGCATGTCTTCGAGGGGTTATTATCATCCTCGCCGTTGTACCCATGGTTACTACTTCCACTTTGGTTAGTGCCCTGGTCAGTAAATGAGGCTGCCCGGGTGTAATTATTGGTGACTGTTTTGCTGACCCTTTTAAGCTTCCTCTTTTTTACCATACATCTGTGCCATCGTTTCGGGTCGAATATAAGTGTGGGTCGTTTTACAAAGGGGTGTTCCAGAAATAGCTGACCGTGTAAGTTATTCCCCCACCCGTACACTTCATTCTGGTAAGTACAAATTAAGTTGTGTGAATATCCAGCAGCAATGAATTTCACCTTTTTGTTGGCATCTTCATCTAGTCTGATCAGTTGCGGGGAGGAATAAAAAACAGTTTTCTTTTTATTTTTTTTTTCTGTGCATACTTGATAAGTGTCATTACTGCCCATCGCATAGCAGTTTTTATTTTGGGACAAAAAGAGAGCGTGACTTTGTCCGCATGCTACATTGACAATTTTTATTTTATCCAAAAGGTTCACATATTTAACAAATTTTGTCTGATAGTGGTAAATTATTTTGTCCTTGGAATGGACATCACTGTGCCATGTGAAAATTCTATTTTCCTCGTCCATTCCGTAAAATTGGAATTCCCCCAGGAAAATTTCCTTCGTGTTGACGGGCAGCCATTTTGCGTAGTTTTGCGCGTTTTGTGTATTTTTCGCATTTTGCGCGTTCTGTGTATTTTCCCTGGGGAGGGTTATAGCGGTCTGCCCTCTTGGCAGGGGACTCTGACTTTGTAGAGGGCAGCGCCATGTAGCCACCCTCCCACGATGCACCGTCGTGGATTTTATCTCCCTCCTCTGGAGAACACTCCCCTTGTTGTGAGCGAAGTGGTCTGCATGTTGTGGGGATCCGCCAGGGGGAGTTCCCCTCTTATGCAGGGCATACAAAACAAAATCGCTAGTTAAGAATTCACAATCGTTTATGTCACTGTAGGATATGTTCAAGTAGCTCTTTCCATTGGAAGATGCATTCGAAAGTGGTGTGCTATCCAACTGAATGAACGTATTGTGTGTGCTTCCTTCTTTCCCTTTTAGCAGAATATTTATGCTGTGGCCACATGTGAATACTCCCCTAATAAGGACATTCTCCAGTTCCTTTATGAGTTCCAGTTCGCCATCTCGATGCAGATACACGTTGCTTATCTTTAAGGCTTCCTTCTTTTGTGTGGTCATTTTGTCACGAATGTGATGAATGGGGGGGTATAAGAAGCAGAGAGGGTGTATGCTTGTGCGTCTACGAGGTAGCTCTCTTTGTGCAGATGGGGATTCCCTCTTAGGTGCTCGACATCTCGGTGGAGGGGCGCACGCCAAGGCTCAGCAGTCTCTCCTTTCCCAAACATAGACGCGCAAAAAAGGGAATGCTCCATCTGGCATCCTACTTCTCAGAAGAAGTGCAAAGTGAAATGCTTTCCTTTCTGAGAAAAAGAAAAAAAAAAAAAAAAAAGACCGGTGCGGGGGCTCCGTAACGGCGAGCCCAGGGAATAGAAAAAAAAATTAACTAGGAAAAGCATAATAACACTGGCAGATATCGCTCTTTCTACACCCCCACATCTGACAATTATTTTTTTTTTTTGGCAAACTTCCTCTCCAATGTGATGACTGTAGACAGAAAAAATGAGAGTCCCCTCAAGAGCACATAAACGTGGCTCTGGCGAAATTTTTTAGTTACACCCATGAGGAGGTTAGTTCCAGAAGGGGCAGCCCTTTCGTTTAGCTCTTTCATTTTTGTGCATTCAGGAGAGCACATGGTAATGTTTAAAGGGAGTGCAATATGGTTGGTTAGTTACATGAAGGGTGAATATGTAGAAGTTGAACATGCAGAAAAGGGGTAGAAAAAAAAGGGGGAAATATTCAAAATGGTGGAAAACAAAAAAGATGCTAAGAGAAGCGTGAAATGGTTTCTTTTTTTTTGTCAAATTCACCATCGTCGTGATGGGCCCCTATTTAAGGGTAGTGTCTGTGAAGGCTATAAAGCTCCCTTTAGTGCATCCGGGGATGCGCTTTCTGTGAATAATTCAAATGGTCTGTGCCATATGGGTAGTGATTTTCCCTAAGATGGCTGTTTTCACTGCTGCCACTGCTAAGCTCACTTCCGAAGTCGCTGTCCGGGTCCCGGTTGGACAAATTCTCGAGCATGACAGTGGCGATGCTGGCCCTCTTCACATTGTCCTTTGTCGCTTTGCTAATCTTTAAAAAGTTATTCTTTAAATTGTTACTATTACTGCTATTATTTTTTCTGTTTCTTTTTTCATTTCTCCCTTCCCTAATTCTCTCTTTGTGTTGCAGGATGTAGGTGTTTCTGTTTTTTCTCTCGACTCGTTGGTTGGTCCCTGTTTGTAAAATTTCATTTACGTCGAGAGAGCTGTGCGAGGAGTTCTCACTGCTACTGCAAAAGTGCATGGATCGTTTGCGTGTGTTCCGTTTCTTTTCATGGTAGTCTTTGTTCCCCGTGTGATTGCTTCTTCTGAGGTTATCTGTCCTCCGTTCGGTTTGGTCATGTTCGTCATCCTGGTAGGGACCATCTTCTGTGTCTTCCTGCGTGTCCTCTGATGTGCATTCAAATTCGGGACCGCCCCCTGGGTCTCTTTCGTCGAGCTCAATATTCACGTCGAATATGCTCTCATTGAAGGTATCAAAATCGATGCTATATTTCTTAACTTGTTTCTCCTTCTTGGAGGCATTCTGTGAGTGTGGGCAACTCGGGGGAGATTCACTTGTGGGGTCATCCTTCCGAGGCCGTTCCTTGTCTATGTGTTCCTTTTCCGAGGAGAGACATCCTTTTATCTGCACCTCACTGGTGGAGCTTCTTTCCCAATTGTTGGTCCCTCTGGAGTGGTTAAACTCTGCCGTTTTGCTTCTTTTATATGGGGGTGACTGGTGCTGGCCCTCACACAGGTGCACATCAGGCTCGCCCATGTTCCGAATTCGACAGACGCCGCACGTTTTACTGCGGGGTAAAGCACTCATGTTCGGTTCGCTCAGGGGGGGAAGGCTGTTTTCATTTTGCTGGCCATTTGGGGGGAGCGTCGAAATGGACGGAGAACACAATGAGCAGAATAGGTACAGGTGGGCCAAAGAAGGGGCCAATTTTTTCCGCAAAAAAAATGAGTGAGAGATTCCCCCCTTTTGTCCTGCCCTATTCGTCTTTAACGCATAGAACGTTTGCGCTTCGGTTCACCCGTTAGACGAGTTAAGAAAAGAAAAAAAAGAAAACGTCAATTAGTCCGTTTGAATGTTATATTATGGTTAAGAAAGTTATCCTTATTGTGTTATGTCCATTGTATCACTTTTTTTTTTTTTTTTTTTTTTTTTTTCCCTTATGTTGCACATAAAAAACAGCGCACGCGTACTCCACACCGTAAAGACTTTTTGATTGACCCTTGGGGGAGGATAGACTGGGGAAAAACATCTCAAATTGATGAGTATGATGTCCATTTTGTGAAGGTTGGACAAACGGGTAGAAAGCTGTGTCCCACTGTGCGCCTTTTCACGAGTGAAGCTATGCCCATGGGGAGAGAAGCAGTACATAGTGGAATTCCCAAAAAAAAGATGCCCCTGGCGTGAAACATAATTCTTCAATTCCTCCACTCACAGCTTCTACCGATGAAGGGACTACATTCCGATTCGTCCACTTCTCGCGAAGTGACTTTTAACCAAATTTGCGAACTTGTCTGGGGGGAAAAAGTCAAAGGGCTGCCTAACCATGTGCAGGAACAAATAACTCATTTTCTTTTTAAATTTTATGAAGCGCGGAAGTTTTTTACATGCACCGAGTTGGAAAATTTAAACAACTTCCTAACATTATTGATACGAAATTTTAAGGAGCATACGAATGACAAATTTTGTGTACGCATTCTTCTGCTCCATTTTAGGAAGGCGTCTGCTTCCTTTGTAAAGTCTAAGAGAGCCGAGGATGGGCTATACGTAAAGCAGGTGACGCGATACTTGCTATGCTTGCATGAGTTGGTCAGACATTTGAAGGAGAGGCAGCAAGGGGGAGAGCTTCGTACAGGGGAGCTGCGAAGTAGCAGCTCAGAAGAGGAACCCCGTTTGGTGGTGTCTATAGTGAAATATGTGAACTTGTTCGTGGTGTCCGCGCTGAGGTAACTTTGGAACACTGCAAAGAGACGCATCGATTTCCTCTTCGTAGAGACGCGTGGAAGTAGTAGTTTTCCTTGCTGATGGCCTTCGTTTGACTGCTTTACCCCCGTCTCAGGCTAGTGGAGGAGAATTGCTTGGCGCGCTTTTACTGTAGGATCATATCTTATGGGAAGATTGCCGAAATTCTAACCAATGCATATGGCCAAAATGAGGAAGCCGACGAGGACATCATCCACAGTTGTGTTTTACTAACGGAGCGAAAAGAATTTGATAAAGACATCATAAAATGCGGAATCATGAATAAGTTTATCACGTCGGAGGCACTACTCCAGAAGAGTGTTTCCTGTAAAAACAGCTTCCTCATTCAGGTAGTAATAAAAATAACTAAGCGGAATTTAAACCAGCTCAGAATATATACCTCCAAGAGTGATCTCCAATTTGTTAATTCCTTAGTAGAAATAGTGTACAATAAAATTACAAAAGGAGACGTCGACCTGTCTTGTGCTGACTTGTTAAGATTATTTTCCTACATCATAGAGGGGGGAAGGAATTCCGATGATTTCCCCCCCTTTGATCATCATCCTGAAGACATTTCTGGTACTGATGAAATTCTATTTTTTCAAAATATGAATAAATTAATTCAGCATGTGGATTGTCTTGTTCGGTCGGATAACCTTTGCAACCGTGTACGGGAGAAAGATGATCGGTTTTGTTACTTTCTCGGCGCCCTTTTCTGTGCCCTGCGAAATGTACTGCACGTTGTGCTGAATTGGGACAAGTCGACAACTTCCTCGGAGTGCGACGATAGCGGGAGCTGCAAACCTAGAGGGAGGTGTTCACATTCTTGTTGCTCTTCCAACCCATTGTGGAGGTTTAGCCAAAACTCCCAAATGAGGGGACAAGCGGAAAAACTCATTTGTAGCATTTTGGATCTGATCCTCAGCTTTCTAGTCAACTGTAATTCTCCCCTTCCAGGTGCGACTAAGACGTGTGCATTGTGTGCGCGATTGTTTTTTACACTCAGCCTCCGCTCCAAATATGTCCATCCCTTTCATTATTGTCCACCTCCCACTCCTTCCACCGACAGATGAAAAGAAAATGCTGCACCTGTTATGCTTCGATATCATTAATCCGATAAGTAGCTCCCATTGTGTATCCACCATGGAGAAAAAAAAGATTGCGGAAAAAGTGATACCCCTCGTGAGTCAAATCAATAGTAGCGAAAAGGATGCAGAAGGGAAGGACAACTATATGTACCTAAAACATGTTGAAGCTTTATTTTTCCTGTGTTTACATAATGAAGACGTGTGCAGGGAATACTTTAACGAAAAGTTTATCAAGCATGTGGAAGAGCTATACCTCCAGATTGATCAGCGTGAAAATGTTGAAAAAGTCGGAAATTTAAAGAAGAAGGAAGAATGTGATTTATTGAAGCTGTACTATTTTGGTATACTCTCCACGTTCGCACAAATGAACATAAATAATGAAAAGGAAAAGGAGAAGACAGAAAAGAACGAGAAGAAGATTTCTCTCCCTTTCGTTAGTTATGTAATAGGGAAAGAGTTGCAAAATAAAAAGTTCCTTCTCGAGAACCACGTCTACTGCTTGCTCTTTTTGCGCTTTTTAAATATGTCTCTTTTGAACAATTTATATGATTTTAAAGAATTCGCCCAAGGAGTTTCCTTGGTAGATTTCCTCAAAGTAATTAGGGGGGTTGATGCTCACCTTAAAACTGCGGTACGTTTGTTTGCAGACGGAGGGGCGCTTCGACGTCTGCAGAAGGGAACGCAACTGTATATGTGCATATATAGATATATACGCAGGAGTGCATTTCTGTTTCCCCTCCCAGCATCCGCTGACGCCTAACACAAATTCCCCCCCCAAACACTTCGACACATCTCAGGCATTAAATGTTCTCTTACAGTGGGTGGAAAGAGATCCCTTCTTGAAATTAATCAGGACGCATGTGAAGACAAATAAACAGATATTCCACATTCTGCTAGAAATTTGGGTACTCGTCCAGGCCGAAATGAGAGGGGAGAAGAAGGAAGCGTTGGCAGCGTCTGCAAAATGGGAGGTGAGCATAAGTGCCGCCAAGTTCGATCATTTGGCGTGTGCCTCTTGTTGCTAAACATATCCACACATGAGGAACGAGTTTATCGTTGCTAAATGGTTTAAACCACGCAGTGTAAAAATACCACCAGATCTTACAACCCCGTTATACCCTAAAAAAAAAAAGTGAGCAGTTAGCTAAAAAATAGCTAGCTGAGTTTTTTTTTTTTAATTTCCCTTTTCTTCAGAGCGTTCTGTACACAATATATCACATATTTAAAAGACTAACGAATGGGTTTACCAAATATTTGAATTACTTTTCGGAACACGAGGATCTCCTTAGCAATTTCAAAAGAGTGATGACTTTCGAAGAGAAATCCGTTTTGGAAATATATTCCCAAATGTGTCAGGATGTTGAAGGTGAGCGGCAAGTGGGAGCAGCGCTGGAGAAAAAGTTTCAGCGCAGTGTACATAGGCATAGAGAGGTGCCATCCAGATGTGTTTATGCGTTTATGTGCCCATTTGGGAGGCAGGTGAATAAGATGGAACGCCTACACCCATGCGAACCACGGTGTAGTCACTGCTTTGACCTTCTTTCCCTTTTTTTTTTTTTTTTTTTTGTTTAGAAAACCGGTTGGCAATTCTGGAGAAGGACAAAAACTACCTTAACGGCAAGGTAAAGTCGTGGGCGGAGAAAATAGAACAAATGGAAAAAAGGCTCCAGGTTACGACGGAGGAGAGTTATCGGAAAAATGTCGACGAATTGGAGAATTATTACAACTACGTCCGAGCGGGGGGTGATTACTAATGGTGGAACAAAAATGGGTGAGGAAGTAAAGGCGGCTGTCTAGTATCATTAGGGTTTTGGGGAAATATCAAGAGAGCGCTTTGCATATTTTCATCACCTTAACATGATAGAAGAAATAACCGGTGGGATGAAGACGTGAATTATGAGGAACTTCCTCAAAAAGTATTTATATTTTTAAAACGAAAAATTATTTGAATTTGAATTTTTTTTTTCTTTTTCAGTATAAACTTCCACCAATAAGAGTGCTACACAGCAGATAAATTTAAAAAAAAAAAAAAAATTCTCCCCCTTTTAAAACTGGCATATCCGTGCGTTTCTCAATAGTGCCTCTTAAATAGTACCGATGTAAACTTAACGCCACTTTGGAAATGCAGAAAATTGGTGGCCATGCTCTGGGGGTTGCTACGTCACCTTGCCGTTTGACTAAAAAGAACTTTTCCCGCGCTCTTACGTCTGTATAATTGCACGAATCTGTACGTATATATATAAAATTCCCGTGTGCCAGCATGTACAGAAGTATGTTGTTGAGGGGGAGGGCGTAAATATTTTAAGGCGCCTGAAAAGGGGCAGTGCCTCTTGCCATCCGTTCTGCGGTCCTTGAATTCTGCTACATCCTCTTTTCCCCCACGGTTTCTGCGCCCCTTCCCGGGCTGGAAGTATTATGTAGATGATATATTTATTTTGGCCCTCTGCAAAATTTGCTTGTGGTTTCTCCACGACGCCGAAATGTTTTACCCCCCCAAGCAACGTGTAACCCATCACGTTTTCGCTTCATCTGAATTTTTTAAATTTCTATATTTTAATTTGTGAATTTAAATTTGTGCGCTTAAATCTGTGTGTTTAAATCTGTGTGCTTAAATATGTACTTCTTAATTCTTTACCTTTAAATCCTCTTTTTAGAGATGTTCGCAGGGGTATTTTTATCTTCACCCGCCTTTGAATGCGATTTCCGAAGCGCTGTTGAAATTAAAGCTTTTTAAACCACTTCTTTTAGTACCCATTTTTAGGACCTATTTTGTAAATTAATTTTTTTTTTTTTTTCGCAAATGTTTTAAAATTTACGGGGGTATGGGAGAGGTTAAAAAGAAAAAAAAAAAATAAAAAAAAATCGGATCGATTAATAAGGAAAATAACTAAATTGCCGTGGCAATGAACCAATGGATTACGCGAAATAGAGGATAGTGGAAACTGTTTTCCCTGTTCCACGCCTCACGAGGAAGTTTGCCTTTGCCCCGTGAATCAGATACGCATGAATTTCCGTTATAACGCGCAGGTTCTGCCACTGAAAAAAGGGTGACCGACTGGAACGGAGTTCCTATGCGGTGAGTACGTTCGTACGTTTGAACTTATTTACGTACATTCGGCGATTGGTCCCACTGGCCCACTCCGTACGTCGTGCGATCGTCCATCTACATACGCGTTGTTGATGGGCGCCTACCTTAGATACCCAGAAATTGCATAACGAGAAAGGCATCGCACATAGGGGGCAAGCGCTGCAGACGAGGCAAACCCCGCGAACAACGCAAATCGACCAATGGGGAGAAAACAAAATTTCAGCTTTAAAATATAGAAATGAGGAATTGCGCTCAAAAGGTCACAGGCGAAGAGAGTTTTATTTTTTCCTCTGTTTCTACAAAGCAAGGAGAGTACGTGGATAAGTGAAAGTACGTCGGCGAGCGGAGCCCAATTCCCATTTCGATAAACCGCGCTCGTGGAGACGAAGCGCGTTTCTCTTCAGAGCCTCCCACGGACGGCGTAGTCAGCATGTTACTTAAGGGCAGGGGGCGATGCTCACATGGCAGAAGGGAAATATGATCTCGAGGGAGCTGACCGGAGAAGGCGGGTGCGCGCCGGGTTGTGAGCAAAGGGGTGAAGTGCAACTCGGTGAATCGCCAAGCGCAGAGGTACCTATTGACGAAGCACACGGGGGGGAAACTCGATCCGACGGGGCATCCAGCCTGGACGATGGAGACCGAGATTCCCGAATGAAGGATTTGAACTCCATGGAGGGAGTCCAAAAAAGATACGCAAAAAAAAAAAAAAAATCCTTCTTTTTGCAATTCTTGAGTCAGAAGTCAGGGAAGAAGAGGGACTGGCGCGATGGAAATGTCATATGGATTTTTGTGTTTTTCCTAGTTCTGTATATCGTAAGGAAGGGAATTAGCAATTTGCAGGAAGTGAAGGATGGCGCAAGCGATTGGGACAGCTATGGCGGAAAGGATTTTCCGAGTAGTGGGGGAAAAGGGGGGTCCTCCGTGAAGCCATATTTCAGCAGAAACGGAGATAGCGAAAATTTCCCCTTTGAGGACGACGAGTTTATTTACATCCCCAACAGGAAGAGCGACAACACGATACGTTTGAAGAATGTCCCAGGAACGGAAATTATAGACAACAATTTTCTAAGCGTCTATTCGGAAAATATGAAGTATTTAAGACAAACAAGTTTGAATTATTCCCTTCATCAGAGAGCGCTATCCACAGAATGTTATGTCTATTTCAGGAGCTTTTTAAAGGAAGCCATCTCTCCGCACAGTTTAACCAAAGCGATCAAGATCGATAAGGAGTATATTTACCCATGGGATGTCATCACACAGGAAGATGTGGAGAAAATTATTGAGAATGCAAAATTTTACGGGTTCTTATTCACGTGGTTTAAAAATCATCGAAAGGCACAGAAGGTGGATAAGGTGACTTTGCAGAAGGAAATGCCTGTTTTGTCTCCTCGATTTGTACAGAGGCCAGATATATACACACACTTCTTCAAAAAGAATAACGTGAAGGAGCCTAATTTTTATGGCATTCATTACACGTGGTTGGGTCATGCCACCGGATTGGTTGTGGTCGATGGGTTCAAAATATTAGTAGATCCCGTTTTTAAAATTGAGCTACTCAGTTTGAAGGGAATAACCAGATCGTTAATCAATTGGGTTAATGTAAAAATCATGGGAGGGTTAGGAGAAAGGATAACAAAGTCACCATGTAACATATCGAATCTGCCTGACGACCTACATGCAGTATTCGTTTCGCATAATCATAATGATCACATTATGGAAGAAGACGTCCGAATATTATGTAAGCTAAAAAAATTCCAGCATGTGTTGTGGTATGTGCCAGAAGGTACCGCTAGTTTTTTTCTGAGTGAAGGTTGTAAGGCAGCCAAGATTTTTGAGCTCTCCTGGGGTGATGAAAGATGGGTTTCTTGCTGGATTTCTCACAGACAATTTCAATGTAAGGATGGCATTTGGAACAGTAAAAATGGAGAAAAGCAAGTATTTAAGTATAAGGTAATTTATGCTCCTACGTTACACTGGTCAGGTAGGAAGGATAATCTTAGTGATATTAATAACTCTCTGTGGGGGTCTCTAATATTGAAGGGTCCAAAGCATCGATTTTATTTCTCTGGAGACACAGCTTACTTGAAGGAAAATTTCGAAGAGTTTAAAAAAATCGGACGGCTACATGGCCCCTTCCATTTAGCCGCAATTGCTATTGGAGCGTACGAACCGAATAACTCTTTGAAATATCATCATGTGCATCCTTGGGAATCAATAAAGATATGGAGGGATATTAAGGCCGAAATGGCCATCGGAGTCCACTGGGGGACGTTCCGATTATCCGCTGAGGAGTTTATGCAGCCCAGAGATGAGTTAGAAGCAGCCCTGTTGGGGGTGGGCCTACACACCTTACGTAATAATTCGGTCTTACCTTTCGAGAAAAGAAAAAAGGAGATTCTCAAAAAGTATGCCATTAAGAATGACAATGAGGAGGAAAACGAAACGGATGACTTGAACGATCTGAAGGAGTACTTTTATCCCCCTACAGAGGAAAACGCACATGAGTATACAGACAGTTTTCATTCACTTTTCGCAAAAAATATGAATCTGTTTTATAGTGACATTGATAGAAATTATGTCAAGCATATGTACCAACAGAAGAGGCTGTACGCTTCTACGTATAACAGATATAAGAGAGCTCTGTTTTTGCGCAACTCGAAGAAGCTTCCAAGGAGTTGGAAGAAGTTACTCCTAGATTTGTCCATACGCTTTCAAACCATCCCCATTGGGGGGTCTATGGAGGTCATTTCGAAGGGGGACAACACCATCTCGATGACGAGGTCGACGGAATATAATTCCATGCAGTACGAGCATTATACCTTTCCCAAGTGGTACAACGAGAACGAGAAGGAGGAGACGCTCAGTCAGAACTCCCTTTCGCTGGAGGATTTGATGGATTTCCACATAGTCAGTTAGGGGTAACGGTTAGGGGTAATCATTAGAAGTAACCGTCAGGAGTAACCCATAGGAGTAACCGTCAAGGGGTAACCGTCAAGGGGTAACCGTCAAGGGGATAACCCTCAGGGGGGTGTGCAATACGATGCCCATAGCACGCACGATTTTCTTCAGAGGTGCGAAATCGTTTATAATGATCTCCGTTTAGCACCCCCGTGACGCCCCCATTCTGCCTTTCCCCTTGCTGCTCCTGTTCCCCTTCGCGACTAGTTGTTGCTTCCCCTTTTTCGTGCACATATTTGGTCCACTCCGTGGTGTGTTCCCTCTTGTTATTTTTTCCTGTTTGCCGTCCATTCGCGGCTGCGCGTCTCTGCGCCTTTCCGTCACGGCTCACTTTTCATTTTTTCCTTTTTCGTCCGTGATTCGCGGAGCGCTTTTGAACGTGGGTTTGCTGCCATGCGCACCGTTTTGCTACCCTTCGATTTTGCTTCGTTGCGACTCCGCTTCTTTGCTTTTTCCCTTCTTTCCTTCTTCCCGCATGGCTCCCTTTTGCCCATTTTGAATTTCCTTTTTTGTTTGCAACATCTTAACTTCGTGGTCGCCTTGCGGCGGCCCCCTTCAATCCACCAGTGTGTGCGTGTCCATTTGGCGAAAACGACGCTCCTTCGCATACGTGGTTTTTTAAGAAAAAAAAGGGGTGAGCAAAATCAAGCCATTCCGATTGCCGCCTCTCAAACAGGGCACACCACGCACCCGGTGCGGCATTACCCCATTACACCATTTTTGATTTATGCAAGGGGAGTTTTATAGATAAGTGAAGCGACGTATATACGCGGTGCGTACCGATGTGCATTTGGACACATGGACATGTGTGGGCATGTGAGGGCATATCAGGGCATGTGAAACCATATGTAGGGTTGCTCCCCCTGGTTAACTAGGAAAGCGAGGCTTCTGGTACAGGAAGTGGAAGTGTTGGGGAATTGCTTTGATAACGTCCGAAGCGAGGAGCCCCCGATGGCACTTTTTAAATTCCTCTTTGCACAAATATTTTAAGAAGAAGCTGCCGCAGAAGGCGGAGAGCGCGTCCAGGCATTCGTTCTGTCCGTCGGTGGATTCAACGTCGAACGCCTCCTTCAGCGTTGGAGAAAAGTTATCCTTCTTCTTTCCTGCCCAGGAAAGGAAAACGGCCAACAGTCCTGTCTGCAGGTGGGTAGGGAGTGTACGCGTCAGTGCAGACGTGTGTATATGCAGTCGTACGTAGGTACAATCGTTCGTATGTGCCGACCGCATGGCAGCCTCAGCGGTCTTACCAGGACGTCGCCCAGCCCCGCCGACCTCTTTAAACACGGGTCCTCAAGGGAGGAAACGAAAAAAAAATCCCTGTAAATAAACACGTCGTAAAAACCCTTTATGAGTATTTTGGGACCACCAAACAGACGCATCAACTTATGACCCTCATGAACAATTCTGTCTGTGCTCAAGTCGTCGAACTTCAAATTTTGGCCATCCTCCGTGAGAAGAAAAATCATTTTCCTGAACTCATTCTTATTTGGCGTAAATAAACAATGCTGATAATTTTGTATTAAGCAAAATATATCTCTAGTGATTAAAACAAATTCAATAATGTCTGCGTCGAGAATTAGAAAGATGTTTTTTTTTATCATTTGTTTCATTACATAGCTGAGGCAGTCTTTGGTCACCTCATCGATGGACCCAAGACCTGGCCCGAATACACAACAATCAATTCGATTGGCCAAATACTCTGTGCAGTTTTTTAATTCTGCAGTTGGGGCTCTGCTTATGTTTGACTTTTGGCTGTATAAGTATGGGTAGACAATGAGCTCTGGGCTGTAGCACTTGAGGGGGATCGCATTTTCCTGTGCTGTTATGACGAACGATAAATCAGCTCCGAGTTTTAATGCGCTCATGGCTGATAGAAAGGGGGCTCCGCTGTATACTTCACTGCCCCCGACCACGCATATTTTTCCTCCGCATCCTTTGTAGTCCTCGGGGGACAGCTCCGGCACGACGTACTGTTGGAGGCGGTACAGCGTTTCGTCTTCAAAAAAGGGGGGGAAAAAGAAAATGAAAAAATGGGAAGTGCATGCATGTAAAGTAGTGGGGTTAGGAACAAATCGCTTGGAGATAAGATGAGGGATATCACCCAAATCAGACGTGTGGGAGGGGCAATTTGTGCTACCGTTTCGTTTTGCTCGCCTGGTTTATTTGGGTAATTTTTCCCCAACAGCTATAAGTTTTGATCAATTTTGATCAGTTATTTCCAACCTTTCCCACCTTTTCTCACTTTTTCAATTTCTCTCAATTGGCGCCCACTTTGGGCTCTCCTTTGCGCTGTTACTTGGCAGCTTCCTATTCAAGTGGACCCCGGTCAGCTGCGGATCTGCACTGACGGAATACTCCTCCATGGTTTAAGGCCTTAGTTGGAGAGAACGTAATGACGTGCGAGGAAAAGAAGGCTACGTCGAAGGAGGGATATTCCTTTTGTTTTCACGCAACATCAGTGTCCCTACTTAACTACAAAGAGTTGAGCAAATTGGTGAGTTGCATTTTCTTCGTTTAATTTCAAGGAGGAAGGAGAAAAAGGGAAGGAAAAAAGCGTAACGAAGAAGTCATAAAATTTTGAAAACTCCGGATGCTCGAAGTGAACAGAGGGGAGGAGACACACATACGTTGCTATTTACGTATGATCCGATTGTGGTGGCAGATGTGTGTGGGGGGAGACCCCTCGCTTGTGGTATAAGTGGAGCCTCTACGTGACGTGGGTGGCGGACATGCGCAAGTGTGTCCAATCACATTTTCTGCTTCTCCTGCAGGGGGGGTGTACCGCGGTGTTATACACAAAC